AGGGCAGGGACTTTATAAAAGCGGGCTTCCCCTTTGGAGAGTCAGTGGGAGAGCACATCTTTCGTTTTTCACCCAAGCTGTATTTCTCTGGTTCGAAAACAGTCTCTCCTTTTAACCACCCCAGAGTGGGGACTCCTGTTGGCATTGGACTGGTGGCAGGGATCATCTGTTAACAAAATAAAAATGGCTTCGGTGGGAAACATAAGGAAACTTAAAGCAGTAGACATCCAACCTAGTGGGCATGTAGTACTAGTAAGTCAACTCTCATTTTCATTCCACTGATGCTATGATTTGGATTTTTGTACATTACATCCTAATTTTTTTGTCTCAGGCTTTATAAAGACATTTTAGTGTGAATACTGCTCCATAGATGCTAGTTCACCCTCTCTACTCAGTCTACAACTTAACTTTTTATAATCCAAACTAGAGGCCTGATGCATGAAGGCTCGTGCAAGGATAGCCTTCCTTCCCCTGACTGCCTGCGCTGGTTTCCTTTCAGCACCCGGGACCCAGGCCTTGCCTTCACTCCAGCCAGAGCCGCCTTCTGCCTTCACTCAGGCTGGAATCACCTTCCACCTTTGCTCCAGCTCTGCTACCCTCCTTCACCCCCAAACCTCCTCATAGCAGGCATCCTGCCCCAGCTGCTTCGTGCCTGCATGTGTACAGTGCCCAGAGGTCCAGAATGGCTGGGGTGGGGTGGAATGCCTGCGTCATTGCCATGGCAACAACACAAGCATCCCGGTCCAGCTGCTGCCATCTTTGTTATGTCAATTTGCATATCCCCTCCTTATTGGTTGTGGGCACCGCCATTTTTGTTGTGGAGTGATGGTCAATTTGCATATTCTGTCTTCATTAGATAGGATTTTTCACCTATTGTATAAAGTGGGGGAGGAGGGGAATACCTACATTAGAGCCCACCAGTTTCTAAATTGGTCCTGAAATCTGAGCAAGAATTCTCTTAGGAATTCAAGCAAAGGTACACTATAGTGTAGGTAGCTAACAAGGTAGGAGCTGAATGCATGCACATTCTAAAGATGGGGCAAGTCAGTAAACTTCGCACTCATAGAGGGCCCCCACAGATTTATTTGAAAGGAATTATTTAGTCCCTCAGAGCAGTAGATGGAAATGAAAATCTTCTATCTGAAGTAACCAAATTTTTAAATTTATGCTGTAAACTCTAAGTTTCCCAAAGCCCATGCTAACTGGTTCCATTCTTTAAAAACAAAGAAACATGTTTTTATTGGTTTATTTTGTAGAGCAAGAGAGGGATATAAACATTAATGAGAGAGAAACATCAATCGGCTGCCTCTTGTATGCCCCCTACTGGAGATTCAGCCTTGCAACCCACACATGTGTCCTAACGGGAAATTGAACTGGGACCTCTTGGTTCATAGGTCCACACTCAAGCATTGAGCCACACCAGCGGGGCTAACTGGTTCCATTCTACTGAGCCTGTTGTTTTAAACAAAAATCCAGTAAAATAAATAAATAAATTAATTAATTAATTAATATCAGTTTAGGTCCCAGATTAGCAGAAATGCAGCTAGTTTCAAGGCTGGGGAAAAAAAAAAAGAATCAAAATATCAACCAGCCGAAACCGGTTTGGCTCAGTGGTAGAGGGTCGATCTGCAGACTGAAGGGTCCCAGGTTCGATTCAGGTCAAGGGCATGTACCTTGGTTGTGGGCACATCCCCAGTAGGGGGTGTGCAAGAGACAGCTGGTAGATGTTTCTCTCTCATCGACATTTCTAGCTCTCTATCTCTCTCCCTTACTCTCTGTAAAAAAAAAAAAAAAAAAATCAATAAAATATATATATATTTTTAAAAAAATCAACCAAGCTCAGACAGAGCTAGAGCCAGGCGGTTTTCCTAGCCCTTCAATTCACAGGACACAAGAAGCGAAGTTTCCCTATTTGGCATCCTTTTGTCACTTCAAGCTTGACCCACACCCTCAACCCTTGTCTCACTTTTAGTTTAATCCCCCATTTAATATAAATTGGTTTTCCTCTCTGTATTCTTTGGGACCAGCTCAGGTACTTGATCAGGTGGAGCTCCGCAGAAGTCCTGTGGACTTCACTCACAACCTCGGCGGGGTTTTCCTGGCGCCCTCGGGGTGCAGCCTGGCTCCCCCTCTCCTGGACCCACTCCCTCCCCCTACATGCCAGCTCTGATTGAAAGCCTTCAGTTGGGTCACTGCCACTGCATCGAACAGCGAAGCTTCTGGCGAACGGAGCACTGGGGAGGGAGCCGCAGCACACCCCGCACACATTACTAAAGGACCGCCTCTTGCTAGAGAGCCCACCCACTTCCGCGTCCCAGGGCGGAACTTGGAGGTTTTATCCAATCAGAAGTCCCAGCAGCCCCTTGGGCGGGATTCTATGATCAGGTTGGACCAATGAGAACTTCGACGTAGATTGGCTGCCGACTTCCGGGAAAGCGCTTCTCCCGGAAGTCACCTTCTCCTTTGAGCCACTCGTAGGCGGAGCTAGCCCGCGAGCTCGCCGTGCCACTGGCTGGCACAACTGCCTTTCACGGCAGGTGGGCGGGCGCTACCGGGGAGCTCTCGTAGGCTCGCGGCACCGCGGGGCGGGCCGCGCGGGGGGCCGGTTCGGTCTCCGCCTCCGAGGTCCCCGCTCTTCCCGCCGCCTCCTCGGCAAGCGGCGGAGGGGCCCGCCCCGCGACCTCCGGGGGCCGGTTCTCCGAGTTGCTGTGGTCTGCGCGGGGGGCGCCCGAAAAGGACCGCCGCCGCCGCCTCCTTCGTTACTCGGGCTGACCGAGGTCGCCGACCCCGGCCTTCGCCGGCGCAGGTAGGTGATCCCCGGGCGGGCAGGCGGAGGGACTCAGGAGACCTTCCCACACGTGTGTCCCCCACGCCCTCCCTCCATTGTCAGGGTTTCGCCGGGGTTGGTCCCCGCCTGGGTGGCAGCGTTGCGGGTCTCTCTTGGGCTTTGGCCTGGGCGGAAAGCTGGGCAGTAAATTCGCTTGAGGGCGAAGTGTGCGTGCACCGGAGCAGGTTTGGGTCCAGGAAGAGCGGGCTGGACTGGTTCGGTGGAAAGCCACTCGCCCCCAGCAACGAGGCCTGTTTCATCGCAGGCAGGTCCGCCCTCAAAGAGCGAGAGGGCGGGGACCTGGGGAAGCGGCGAGCTCCCGAGCCTCCTGGTCCTGCTGCTGCTGCTCAGCCTCCTTTTCCCCGGTTTGATGGAGACGGGCCTTCAGCTGCGGCGGTCGTTTTGTTAATCAGCATTGGGGCGGGCACGTTGTTACCTGTGTTTGGAAAGACCACTTGCGGGACCCCAAAGGAGCTGGGAGCTGGGATGGGGAGCAGAGGGGGTATCTGAGATCCATGAGATGCAGAGGGGCTGAGATATGTCCAGGGGATGGATGTGGACCCTGCGAGGTTCAGAATTCCAGCAAGACAGAAACTTGGGCCCCTGAAAGGGATTTTCAAACTAGCATCCGGGAATTGTGCTCTTATAGGATTGATTTTAAAAAATGCAGGAACTTAAAAAAAAAAAAAAGCAAGTAAAAGGTCGGTATAATCTTGACAACATGTGTAAGGGCTACACAACGTTCTTATAAATGGTAAATTGGGAGTGTGCTTACTTTGAAGATCTTGACTAAACCTGTTTCATTTTTCTTGTTAAGTGTAATTGTTGCTTAGTGTTGTTCATACCCTCTCACCCATTTGTGGCGACCATTCAATGAGGTAATGCGTGCAAAGCCTGTAGCAAATACAGTTGAGAGTGTGGTGGAGGCTTGGCTTTAGGTTTATGGCGGGAGTGGAAAGGCCAAGGTCTGCATCCGGCCCGGAACTGCTCATTCCTAGGACCATGCTACCTCCCAGCTCCTTACAGCTCTTTGCAGGAGGCAGAGGCCTCCATTTCTCTCAGCCATGACTCCTTCCAGGTCCTCTGTGTAATCTCTTATGTATTTCATTTAAAAAGTTAAGGCCTGAAAAATTTAAAAAAAAATTTAATATTTAATTTTGTAAATGTAAGCATATCCACTATTTCAGTAATGTTGGATTCCTTTTTCGTGTTGGGTTCTTTTTTTAATTATGCAAAAAAGAGCAGGGAACTATAACAGTTGTACCATACTCCCGGAAAGAAAAAAAAAACACAATATACAAATCATACTATTTCTTTATGCTTTTGGACTTTTTTTTTTTTTCTTTTGAAGGAAAGTAGCATCTCAGCTACAATTGAAATTAGTTTTGCCACTCTCATACCCCTCACCACCACCCCATAGAATTTCTTTGATTCTATCTTGTCTTGCCATTGTGGCTTATAGGATTTACCTGGTGGTGGGCATTTGTGCTCACAAATGTTAGGTGTTGCTTAGTGTCCATTCTCGTTCCCAGCCAGCTGCCAGGTTTGTGTTTTATAGCTTATCATGAGAATTATGGCCATCATTTTGGTTCGGTCCTTGTGGCATTTGTTCTCTTACCCTCTTCAGTAACTTGACTTTTTTTTTTAACCCTTTTCATCTCTGGAATGAACCCGTGAAGACTGACACCAGCTGAAGCATATGCCATCTGATTGGCCTCTATTGGGCCACTGTTCCCTTTAACAAGGTCCACTGCCTTTACCCAGGATACATTTTCCTCACTTTCCACACAGGAAAAACTGGCCTTCCATAGTCATGTATACCGTTTTATAAAATGAGACTTTTAAAATTCATAGTAATGGCTACTATTTTCTGAGAGGTCGGTAACTAAGCACTTTCTCACATTACAACTATGCCCCAACTGGTAATATTTCCATTTTAAGATGAGCAAACGGGAGGTTTAGTAAGATTAGGTGTCAGCAGCCATTTGAGACTAGCATCATCTCTCTATAGGATGTAATTGTTTTCCCACCCATAGAATGAGGGGATTGTTCTCTGTCAGGAGAGATGGAGTTTGGCATTCACCTGGATTCTCTTCAACCTTCCTGCTCCACAGCCCGGCGCCCTCGGGTGCAGGAAGCACCTGGGTGGAGGCCTCCTTTGGGAGAGCCAGAGATGGCATCCGTAGACTTCAAGACCTACGTGGACCAAGCCTGCAGGGCTGCCGAGGAGTTTGTCAACGTTTACTACACCACCATGGACAAGCGGAGGCGCCTGCTGTCCCGCCTCTACATGGGCACCGCCACCCTGGTGTGGAATGGAAACGCTGTGACAGGACAGGAGTCCTTGAGTGAGTTTTTCGAAATGTTGCCTTCCAGTGAGTTCCAGATCAATGTGGTTGACTGCCAGCCTGTACATGATGAAGCCACCTCAAGCCAGACCACAGTCCTCGTTGTGATCTGTGGAACAGTGAAGTTCGAAGGCAACAAACAGCGGGACTTCAACCAGAACTTCCTCCTGACTGCCCAGGCCTCACCTAGCAACACCGTGTGGAAGATTGCAAGTGATTGCTTCCGGTTCCAGGACTGGACCAGCTAGTAGAGCAGGCGTCAGCCTCAGCTCTGGAGGGAAACATCTCAAAATGTGGGGACACCAGTTCCTTTCTGTTGTTGTGGACTACCCTGCCCACGTGAACTCTGCATTTGCTCAAGTCCAAGGAGCCCCTTTATTTGTCATAGTTGCCTTTTCGTAGTACAGTTTTCTATTTTTCTACTTGTCCAGTAGAGACCCTGGTTCTGGAAATACTGACAAATAAATAATACTACAAGTGTTGTTTCTTTTCTCTTACCTAATGTGTTTTCAGAAGGTAGGTTTAAGGCAGTGAGCTTAGTAGAAGGCAGCTGCGGAGGTGTGAGGGCCAGGGGCAGGCACCTGCCCAGGCACGGGTGTGCACACAGGTGTACTGCAGCTGGGCTTCGCAGCTACCTCCACACTGGGATTGCTTGCGGCGCTTTGAAATTACCTTTGCTCATGCTACCCATCCCAGACTGACTGTACCCTAGTGTCTGAGGTAGTGCTGGGCATCAGCATTACAGAACTGGGTTCCTTTCCCATCCTGCCTGCCCTGCTCCAGCTCAGGGTCCCCTCCCTGGCTCCCACCAGCTTCCTGCAGTCCCTACCTGGTGGGGTGGGGCGTCTGTCCCTGACAAGGCTAAGAGGCAAAAGGCCCTGGTAGATCCAGCCTGAGGGCAGAGTGGATGGGAGACACCAAGGCTTCCTCCAGGTGGGCATTCCTGCCTGAACTCAGAGTAGTTATTCAGGATATGCCAGAAATCAGGAAGCATCTAAATGGTCAGTTCCAAGCTCAGCAGTACACACCATCTGAGGCTGTAAGGTGCTCTCTCTGGGTGTGCCCAGGAGGAGTGGGCCCCGCGAACAAGTCCATCCAGGCTTCTGGACGTCAAGGGCAGGGTCAGGGCTAAGCCTGCCTGCCTTCTGCACACCGGGCCAGGTGGGGAGCAGGGATCCTTGGGCATGGGGTCTGACCCAGACTCTGAGGCTGGCAGGAGAGGGGCTGGTTGCCTGGCCTTCTCAGCCTCCCTGTACCTGTTTCCTTTGCCAAGGAAATCCCCAAGGTATCCCCAGGCTGATCTCTTGCCACCCCTGGAGTTTTTGCTCAAACTCACCTCCTCAGAGCAGTTTTTGCTCAAACTCACCTCCTCAGAGCGGCTCCCAGAGCTCACCTGCTCCTGGGTTCTGCCCAGGGGGTAAATCCCACCCAACTGAGGTAGGGGTGGGGAGGCAAGAGGGGCCAGAGAGGCATTCTTGGGGGTTCTGGGGTATCCCAGAGGTGTGCATATATCAATCAGGGTTTTGGTCTTTAACTTGTTCCCATCATTCCTGAGATTAAGGACAACCAGGCAAAGAATTATTTGCTCTCACAATTAAGGGTAAACAATGTTTTCAGCAGCGTAGCAGTATTTTAAAACATCTTCGGTCTTTGGTAAGGAAAATACAGGTTATAGCAGAATAAAGATTTGTGAATTTGGCTAATATGATATCCATGCATTGTGCTAGTATTTGAACATTTACATGTCTATAAAGCAAGATGTGTATGCTAGTACCCTATTTCCCCGAAAATAAGACAGTGCCTTATATTAATTTTTGCTCCCAAAGATGCGCTAGGTCTTATTTTCAGGGGATGTCTTATTTTTCCATGAAGAAGAATATGGTACACATTTATTGTTAAATGAAAATAAAGGAAATTTATTACTTGTATACGGTACGGTAGTGCGGTAGTTGTCAACACAAACCAGATAAACTGTGAATCCTACAGTATCAAGAATTTACTCATTTCTTCAATGACAATCATGTCGTCATCTTCTGGAACATCATCATAACAATCCAATTCCTGAATTTCCTGGTGAATTTCTTGTGACTCCATTTCTTTCAGAATTAGTGGACCAAATCTCTCATGTTTAGCAATAGCATTCTGAGACAGAGCCTAGAGGGGCCTTATTTTCGGGGGGGATGCCTTATATTTCACTCAGAAGGAAACCTGTTAAGTAGGTCTTATTTTCAGAGGATGTCTTATTTTCGGGGAAACATGGTAGTTTATTGTCTGAAATGGGGGATCAACGTGTAAATACAGAGTAAAGAGAATGGCACAGGTTTCTGCAGGGTTCTGAGTGAATTAACTATGAACCCAATAATGCTGGGTAACAAATATTTCCCAAATCTCAGCAGAAGCTTTTATTTCGCTTAGGTAACACTTGAAATTGTAGGTTATTTGAATACTCTTCTAGCTGGGGCTGAGTGGGTTCATTTAAAAAGCCTAACCTTTTAAGCCCGAGGCTTGGAACTGGCACACTGTCACTTCTGTACATTCCATTGGCCCAATCAAGTCACATGGCTGAGGCAAGATTAATGGATATGAAGATAGATGCCTTTTCTAATGGGAGAAGCTCATGGAAAAGAGAGTGGACACGTGGGTGAAGAATGGTGATCATCATCGTCAATACAATCTATCCAATTCCTAAAGGATCAGGTAAAAAATGGGAAGGGCTTCCTTTAGGAATCTGACCTTGCAACTGACACCAGAGAATCAGGACCAAGTGAACTCCCCAAAATCATGTGAAGATGAGCTTATTCTTAGATTAGGAAGCAGAGTCTGGTAGAAGCTGCTTTTAGAGCATATAGCCCCGGTGTCTTTGGGGATGTCCAGAAATTAGATGCTGCTTTGGTTGACTTATTTTCAACGGCATTTTACAGATGAGGAAATGGATTTGTGTTTTAAAAAAGGAAAAGGGTGAGATTCTGTTAGGGACAGAAATAGAATATTGGGGACTGAGAGGGCAGGGCGGAGTTATCCCTAGCCCTCACCCAACCAATCAAGGTTAGCCGAGGCAGTGACATCACCACCGACCGGAGTAAAACCCCTGGACTGGGCGAAATTCTCTCTTCCGCCATGCTGCCGCGTGAGTGGGAGGAGCCCATGCTAGCATGAAACAGGCTCTTTTGTTTATTGCATCGGACTCAGCTCCCTGGTGGTCCTTGGGGATCACAAAGTCTGGGCATAACAGGGACGAGCTATAATTATAAGAAATATTAATCATGCTGAAACCGGTTTGGCTCAGTGGATAGAGCGTCGGACTGAAGGGTCCCGGGTTCGATTCCGGTCAAAGGGCATGTACCTTGGTTGTGGGCACATTCCCAGTGAAGGGTGTGCAAGAGGCAGTTGATCGATGACTCTCATCAATGTTTCTAACTCGCTATCTCTCTCCCTCTCTGTAAAAAATCAATAAAATATATATTTTAAAAAAAAGAAATATTAATCATGTTCTGTTAACTATGATTATTTTGTTCTGAGTAAAGAAAGCACTTTCTAACCTGGCTGGGAGTTGCAAGCAGGACCTGGGAGCTCACGGGAAATTCAGCCCATCTTCCATATCCAAGAACTGCCTTTAAGATTAACAACCTCATTGCAGAAATCAGAGGCACCAGCCCTTTGCAAACCCCCAGCCCGCATTGCCTATAAACTGCCCATTTTGCATACCCATTCTTAACCCTTTTGCCTACTTCCCCATGTAATCTTTGTCCTACTCGAATATCAGCAGCTGGCTTTTGAGGGAGGGGGGGTGGAGAGCAGATTTTTGCGGCTGACTTGCTATTCTCCCATACTGCCAGCCTTATTGGAATAGATGCTCGTTTATGATTCAACCCTGTCTCTACTGAATTGGCTCAAGTAGTGACAGGCAGCCCCGACCCCCACTGATTGTCTGGTTTCACTATCAGATGGTCTTGCTCTTTCCGAAAAAAATTGGCAAAAACTATACACACACACACACACACACGCACACGCACACGCGCGCGCACACACACACACACACACATATATATATATATATATATATATATATATATATATATATAATTTATTACAGTCTCAAAATTATGGTGAGTACATAAGCACTAACACATGTAGAACACTTTTCTGTGAAATTAAACTTTTCATATATACTTGATTTAATTGCACAAACAAGTAAAAACAGATAAACTAATCTGTCATTTTTTTTAACATATACACTCGGAAAATTTACTTTATTATATAATGGACTTTGGCTTTAACAGATACCTCCTTGCCCAAATTAGTCAATTAAATAGAGGTTTTAATGTATGTACATTCTAAATATTTAAAAATGACAAGTAACCTTGTGTGAAATAACTTGTTCTACTAATTTTCCCAAATTAAACGTATGTGCAGAAACTCAAATAAGGTCTTGATTAATTCCAAACTTCCCTAAATATGCTAAATTTTATCTACTGCTACCTAATTTGTAGCACTATAGAGCCTTGGAATCCATGTATTAAGAAAATCGCCCACTAGGGGGAGACATCATTCCTCCACTAAAGCCCACTCTGTGCCTGGACTGCAGGTAGCCTGGCCTTGGTCCCCCGCGGCTGCTCTCCCCTCGCGGGGTCTCGGAGGTTACCCACCCGGACAGCAATGGCCTTCTGACGCACAATGGCCTTCTGGACGCACAGCGCCCTGCTGATGGCTCCCAGCGCCTCTGCGGGCCTGAGCGCAGGAAGGGGGTGGAGCAGAACACCAGACCGAAGCTTCCAACCACGCACGCTGGCTTAGCAGGACATCAAATATCGAGGATGACGGCTTATTTCATCACTCCTGAGGCTCACCCTCTTCCCTTGGGCTTGAGCTGCCCATCCAGCCCATGCTCCGCCATAGGGCTCTGGCCAGCCCTTGAAGGGAGTGGCCCGACCTGCCCCTCCGACCCTCCAACCCTCCAACCCGGGCAGCTCAGGAGGAGTGGTGGGATGGGTAGGATGGGCCTTGGAGCTGAGCAAGTTTCCTGTGCACTCACCCTCAGGGCAGGGCAGACTATGTTATAGTTATTTCCAGACTAGTTTACTCATGTTTTTAACTTAGATCATTCCCCATGTGAAAGAATGTAGCCTTCTTGACCTGGTCAGGAGGGTCAGTTGGTTGGAGCCTCGTTCAATACACAGGAAGGTTGTGGGTTCGATTTCCGGTCACGGAGAGTTTGGGAGGCAACTGATGGATGTTTCACATCAATGTTTCTCTCTCCCTTCTTCCCCTCTCTAATCAATGAACATATCCTCAGATGAGATACAAATAAAATAATGTAGCCTTCTTTTACTCATTATATGGTAAGCATTTCCCCGTCATTAAACATTTTTCCAGCTTTATTGAAGTATAGCTGACAAATACAATAGTATTTTAAAAAATGTGCAACAGCCGAAACCGGTTTGGCTCAATGGATAGAGCGTCGGCTTGGGGACTGAAAGGTCCCGAGTTCGATTCCGGTCAAGGGCATGTACCTTGGTTGCGGGCATATCCCCAGTAGGGGTGTGCAAGTGGCAGCTGATCGATGACTCTCATCGATGTTTCTAACTATTTCTCTCCCTTCCTCTCTGTACAAAATCAATAAAATATATATTTTTAAAAATGTGCAACATATTTTGGTATGCATTTACATTGTGAAACAATTACAAGTTCCACTGAATGTTTTTAAACGTTATTCTAATGACTACACAATAAATCAGTGCATGGCTGTATCATAAATTAGTCAGTGGTTTCCTGGTAGGTGAACAGCTTGTCCCCGTAGTTCAGGAGGACACGAGAGCAAAGCTTTATTTAGCAGTGGCTAGGTGCAGGACGACCTAAGGTCAGAATTAACTCGAAGTTTGATTTCAGCCGTGTTTTGCAAAACGGGGTTTTTTTATTATAATTGCAAACAAATGGGTGGAAGGAAGCAACACGGTTTGGAGCTGAAGGATTCAAGGATTACTAAGGATGTAAATTGTTTTCCACTGAGAAGCTGATGGGTCTTTGGGGGAAGTTGCATAATGACCAATCAAGCCAGGTGCGTGGCTGGGGGCTCCCGGAACAATCACGCAATCCAAGTAAAAGGATGTCCGCAACCAAGCAGGAGCCCGCCCAAGCCAGGAGGCGCTTTGTTCGGTTGCGCCAGCCCCAGGACTCCCTCAGGGCGCCTGCCCCTTCCCAGCACGTGTTGGAGGAGCGTGGCCCTCATCGCTGATCCCCCTCTGGGAGACTGAGACAGGCATGGGCCATGCGCTGCAGGCAAGCAGCTGGCACCGCGGGCTGGCAGCCGGGACAGACCCAAATAGGACCACGCGCCCCAGCTTCTCACGTGACCTTCTGGAGCTGCCACCTCCCCGCAAAGCCGCCGTTATTGACTTCTGCGCAGGCGCAGACCTTGGCTTATGACGCCATGTCGCCTGGCTCGCAGGAAGCGGGACCCCAGTATACGTCGGACTACGTAACTCGGGCTCGGCCTGAACGGCCTTCGCAGGCGGATGTGCGTGCGTGTGGAGGTCCTGCCGCAGCCCCGCGAGGGGGCGGGACAGGGAGGGGAAGGGGCGGGGCAGGGAGGGGAAAGGGCGGGACCGGAGGCGGCCAATCGGCGACGCCCGAGCTGGTGGCGCGCCCCGCCCAGCAGGCGGGCCTGCCCCGCGGGCCTGGAACGGCGGACGCGCGGCGGTGGCGGCGGCGGCGGCTGGGAGGTGAGTGCTCGGCCCACCGGCCCGCCCAGTCTCCGTCCAGCCGCCGTCTCTCGGTTGTCCGCGCCGGCCCGTCCCGGAGGAGCGCCGGGCCGCAGGGTTGCAGGAGCCGGGGGGCGGGCGCGGCCGGGCAGCAGGAACAGGCCCGATCCCGCGGGCCGTGTATGCGTGAGGGTCTGCCGCCGCGGGGCCGAGTGTCCTTGGGAACCGTGAGGGTAGGAGGGGCCGGGGGGCTTCGTGCGCCGGCAGCGAGCTCGCCGCGGAGGCCCCGGGGCGGGCGCTGTCGGGGGCGGTGCCCACTCAGGCTCTGCAGGCTGGAAAGCCGGGCTCCCTACGGGGAAGGGCGGACCTCAGAGAGCGGCCGAAGTAGGGCGATCGGCGGCAGAGATGCTGCCAGGGTGCAGGCCAATTGCACTGGGAGATGCCGCTGTCCCCCAGGCAGAAATATTTTTGTTGCGTGGTCACTGCTTCCCATTCCCTGCTCAGGCAAAACGGGAAATGGTGCTCAGAATCCACTTTGACTTCCAAGTCACCATCACGCCGCCCTGCTCAAGGGTCGGGTCCACACAAGTTTGGGGAAGTGGAGGGCTACTGGTGAGTATGGGCAGGAGGCCTCGAGAGCCACCCTCTGCCATTTCTCCCAGCATTGGGGCTGGCAGTCTGTGTTAGTGGTTCGCCGCTCCCCCCATAGAGCCTAGACTTAGGTTTGATCACTATTCTCAGTTTACTGTGGAGTCTCCTTCAGGTGACTGACTGCTCAGGTCCTGTAGATGTCCTTTCTAGTGAAATCTCAGAGGCAGCTGTTGTTCATGGTGGTGGTGGGGGCTGAGGTAGCCTCAGGTGTCATTGATGGGACTGGAGAAGCAGGAGGGGTGAGACTGGTTTTCAGGGAAGATGAAGAAAGTTCTGCTGTAGACATAAGGGGTCTGAGGGGGCACCTAAGATCTGGCTGAAGAAAGTTCGAAGGAAGGCGGGCACTTTGGATGAGTGGATGGAGATTTAGGAACCAAAGTGAACTTGGAAGAGGAGGGAGATTCAAGTGTAGAAGGTTGGGGGTGAACCCTAAGGAGAAAACACATATTCAGGGAGTCTTAGGTGAGAGAAGGGCCAGCCAAGCAGAAAAAAAAACAATCCAAGATGGTGTGGGCTACCAAAGAAAGCAAGGAGAGGAGACCTCAGGATGGGGTGGGGTGAACTCTCCAGTGCCCACGCTGTGGCCAGACACAGGGAGTGCAAGCAGCTCTTTGCATTCGGCAAGGCTGAGGTGAGGGGGGTGCTGAGCACATTCAGGGTCCAGAGTCCCACCAGGCTCAGGCTTAAGTCCCACCTCTTCCCGTTACCTTGTTGGTGCCTTCCTCATCTATGAAGTAGGGACAATAGCTTCTAGGCCTGGTGCATGGGAAGCAAATAACCAGCCAACAGGTCTCTGGTGTGGCTGTAAGCATTGGACATGTTTGTACTCACCGAAGCCTGGAAACAGCCTGCTAGCCTTTTACAAAGAACTAATGTTCAGAGAAGTTACTTGTTCAGTAAAAGCTATGGAACTTGCATTAGTTCAGCAGAATAATGGTAATTCAAACTGTCTGGTGTTGGAAATGGTCATGGATTGTGGACTGCATTTCCATGAAGTTTCCCCCAGGAAAGCAGTTATTTTTAAAAAAATATTATTTGGTTGTTTTCAAAGGCAGACATGATTCTCTTCTCAGGTTTGTTCCCAGAGAGTGAGGGCATGTGCTTGGTTTGGTTTGGTTTCCTGGTCAAAAGAACTGGACATCGTTGTTGCCCTAAGTCTATACACAAATTAGAAAGTGAACTAGAAAATTTACTGCTCTAATGTATTTCATTAATCATAGTTTTAATCATTCATGTTTATCCTTGGGAAAACCTTAGCAGTATGCTGTTTTTTTTCATGCAAGTATTATCTTATTAAGGTATACCAGGACTTCGGAAGTTAAGGATTTGGAAGAAAAGTTAGGTTTAGATTGTGAATAAGTTTATGTCATCTAAAGAACGGAAATAATCCTCATCCATTTTTAATCCTTTTACCTCAGTAATTGCTTATGCATGAAATAATTCTTGTTTTTGTTTCCAAGGCTGTTTTTGGAAAGAAGAAACATGGAAAGTGGTGCAGTTCTGCTGGAATCCAAATCCTCACCGGTGAACCTTCTGCATGAAATGCATCAGCTGCGCCTCCTGGGTCACCTGTGCGACGTGACCGTGAGCGTGGAGTACCAGGGTGTCCGCGAGGAGTTCATGGCCCATAAGGCGGTGCTGGCAGCCACCAGCAAATTCTTTAAGGAAATGTTCCTTAACGAGAAGACGATGGATGGTACTAGGACTAACGTCTACTTACATGAAGTGCAAGTTGTTGACTTTGCTTCATTTCTTGAGTTTGTCTACACCGCAAAGGTGCAGGTGGAAGAAGATCGGGTGCAGCGGATGCTGGAAATGGCTGAAAAGCTCAAATGCCTGGACTTATCAGAAACTTGTTTTCAATTGAAGAAACAGATGTTAGAGTCGGTACTTCTGGAGTTGCAGAATTTCTCTGAGTCTCAGGAGGTGGAAGGGAGCAGTGGGTCCCACGGCAGCGTTACTTCTGACGCCGGGGCGAGCATGGCTGCGGACAGTCCCTTCCCCAATGGCTTCGTGGACTCCTTAGCCCCTCCAGGGCAGAGAATCAGCAACGGGACGCTGCCAGATCTGTCCCCACGGAAGTCCAGAGAAAAACCAGACAAGAAGAAAGATGGAGTTAAGCCTTCCTACCCTAAAGTCAGAAGAGCTAGTGGAAGGCTGGCTGGCAGAAAGGTGTTTGTGGAAATTCCCAAAAAGAAATACACAAGGAGACTCCGAGAGCAGCAGAAAGGTGCTGAGGAGGATGCGGGGGACTACAGGGATACCCAGCACCCCAGCCCCGACACCGTGGGCACAGAGGCTGAGCCAGTGACAAAAAGTGAGGATTTCAGTGCCGGAGCGGAGGTTGGGGAGGTGCTGCAGAAGGCAGGGCAGGTGGGGGAGGAAGAGGAGGAAGGGGAGGAGGGGGAGGAGGAGGAGAAGAGGAAGAGCAACTTCAAGTGTACCATCTGCGACAAGTCCTTTCTGTACGAGAAGAGCTTCCTGAAGCACATCAGGCACCACCACGGCGTGGCCACGGAGGTGGTTCACCGCTGCGACACCTGCGGCCAGACCTTCGCCAACCGCTGCAACCTGAAGAGCCACCAGCGCCACGTGCACAGCAGCGAGCGCCACTTCCCGTGCGAGCTGTGCGGGAAGAAGTTCAAGAGGAAGAAGGACGTCAAGCGGCACGTGGTGCAGGTCCACGAGGGCGGCGGCGAGCGGCACCAGTGCCAGCAGTGCGGCAAGGGCCTGAGCTCCAAGACGGCCCTGCGGCTCCACGAGCGGACGCACACGGGCCACAAGCCCTACGGCTGCACCGAGTGTGACGCCAAGTTCTCCCAGCCCTCGGCGCTGAAGACCCACATGAGGTGCGTGCGCCCGGCTCCGGCTGCCTGGTGCGGGAAAGAGCCTCTCAAAATGTGTCTTCCAGAACATGCCTTAATTTTCTTGAAATGCGTGTCAGATATCGAGGTAGTCCTAGGATTCGGAGCAGTGTGGCTACATTTCATTTCATAACTTGTTCCCCCTAAAAGTTTGGGGGCTGTTCTGAGATACCATGGAATTCTTTCTGGGTTGAGATGTTAGGAGGTGGTCTTGTTCTGCACGACAGAGGTCCCCTAGTGTTCCCATAGGCCTTGGGCTGGTGAGGACCCCCCCAGCTCCTGTCACAGTGCAGAGACAGGACACGGAACCAGGGTGGCCGACGGCTGCTGCACATGCCAGGTCTTGGCTGGCGTGTCCTGTAGGCCCGGTTCTCCCACATCTGGAGGAGCTGCTGGTGCACACTTCCCACCACACCTGATGCTAAGAACCTGTATTTTTCTTTTCTGACTTGATTTAGAATTTGGCTCGTGACCTTCTGGGTCCCAGTCTCAGTGATGACCTCAGTGAGATGACAGTTTTAGGGCTTTAGGCGCTTCTCTGATCACGTTTGATCTCTGGGCTTAGAAACTATGCCATTGGTTAAACGCCAGAATTAGGATGGACAGTGTTTTCTGCTTAACTTTTGTACTGTAGGTGAGTAATACTATTTTTAAATACATTAAGGAAATGTATTTATGCCCAGTACTTATGCTTCCAATCCAGACAAGCAGAGTTCTACCCTATTCTAGATCTGCTCTCAAACTTGGGCTAGTCTTTGAGGCAGTCGCATGGCGTTCATCTTTTTACTGTATATAACAAGTTTAAAACCTTGGCTTCTTAGGAAGTGCTCAGTAAATCGTGGTTGATAGCTACTTCATACCAGTTGTGAAATCAAAATGAATATGCATTTTTGGAACCAGGTTTCTTCAGCATTTTGAGAAGTTCTTTCTAGACTGGTTGTTACACATACTAGGCAATGCTAGTTAATTTTTTGACTATGTGGTTCTTCATAGCAATAGTTCCTAGGGTGTTTGTAGTTGATTATTCTGAATAAGGAAACTTTAGAAATATTACACAATGCTCTTTAGTGTTTTTAAAAATATGTCAAGGCACGGTCTCCGAAGGGCTGTACAACATTAACCCTAAGACAGATGTGGGTGGACATTCAGTGTCTCACTGGGAAACGCATCTCAGTGAGTTGGCCTTGTGTGGACGTAGACTTGAGGATGAAGATTACGGGTCTCTTCACCTTTCACTCCATTCTCATTAGTTCTCGAACAAACTATCTTTCAGGTTAGAGTGGAAATTGTATTGCAAAGTGAGGTTTGAGATACATCCTAAGTTACCATCTGAATGTTGTACTTTCAGAATTCATACAGGGGAAAAACCTTTTGTCTGTGATGAATGTGGGGCAAGATTCACTCAGAACCACATGCTGATTTATCATAAAAGGTGTCACACAGGTAAATACTCCTGCTGTTGTGATTGAATGTCTTTCCTAGCTGTAGAAGGAAACTGCAGTTTTTTAATTTAGAAATTGGCATCTACCAAACTACCATGATTTAGCTTTCCCATTTAAAAAAGTGAGCAAAAATGAATAAAATATGCTTTGGTGATGGCCTTTTGCATACTTGGCAGTATGAACTGGCATGTGAGTCTTAGGCATCAAAAAGGTATGAAATTGCTCCTACTGCCTTAGCTTGAAATTCCATTTTCAGGAATCTGTCCTAAAGAGATTGTACAGAATATGGGAAAAGCTCTATTTTCCTTCTTGCAATTTCTAATTTAAAAAAGCATTAGAAACAACCTGATTGTAAGTTGAAAAATCAACCCTCCCCTGGCTCACCCACAGGCCATTTGGGCTAAGGGCTCTGAATATTATGATAAATACCTGTACTTGGATATTGACTTGAAAAGTACACAGTGAATCCCAACTATATTGAACTCCTTCCTGTGTAGAAGACTAGGAAATAGCTATATGATGTATTAAGGTGGTGGAATTATCTTACTTCCAGTTTCTAAAAATTTTGTGATAGGATTTTATTATGTGAGGGACAAAATTTAAGTTGGCTTTATTCTGATTCAGCATAGTAACCCTGAGATTCAAAAAACTCTATGAATGAGTTTATGACACAAAGTATACAGAATCTGCTCTATACCATAGTTATTATGCTCAGTTCCTTATTTGCTTGTATTTTTAAATTTTTACTTCCAAACTCTGTCATATGATCCTTAAGTTCAAAAGCAAGTGAGACAGACATGAGTCATTTAATGATATGAATTACTAGATTGTAAAATGTAAGCAAATCAGGTTACACTAAAGAATTTAGAATCAATCATTTGAACATATTAATATATTCAGATTTCATTAAACCCAGTATTTTTATTTTGATGTTTGAAATCAGAGGTACACCTAATCAGATGAGTCTGATTTGTAGAATTAAAAGATTCAAGCTACACAATACATGAGGGACTTTTATTCTGTAAAAGATCAATAGCAGTGCTTCTTTGAGAGAAAAAAAATCTAACAATTTCTCTTAACAAGTTGAACAAATTTCCAAAATGTGAGCTGGCTGCCCTACCTCTTATTTCCTCTTTGGGATTTCCAAGTATATTTTACACCAACTTTCAGCAGATAGTAAGCATCTTACATGGTTAGACTTTGACAGCAGGCTGCCTGCACTTTTGGAATTCATATGGATTTTAGAGATTGGACCCACTCTTCCTGTATGTTTCTGTGTCTATTATTTCTAACTTTTTGTTTCATCTTTTCATGTAGGTGAAAGACCTTTTATGTGTGAAACATGTGGCAAGAGTTTTGCTTCTAAGGAGTATTTAAAACATCACAATAGAATCCATACTGGATCCAAACCCTTTAAATGTGAAGTTTGTTTCAGGACTTTTGCCCAGCGGAATTCCCTTTACCAGCATATTAAAGTCCACACAGGTATGGCGGGAATGTCACCAGAGAAGGGAGCTCAGTGTGCCAAGAAAAATATCCCAAAGGTTTTTGACTTACTGGAGAACTTGGAATTTAGCTTTAGGACAAACTTTGTGTGTCATAATAGCATTTTAAAATGTTTAGTTTTTGGCTCTGAGAAACTGAAAAGATATGGATATGTGAACATTTTGCCACTTTCAGATTAAAATCAGGGGTAATCTATATCAGTGTGTGTGTGTGTGTGTGTGTGTGTGTGTGTGTGTGTGTATATATATATAATATATGCATACAAATTCAGTTGTGGGTCTTGGGAATTTTATATTCCACTAGAAGCCTGATGCACAAAAATTAAGCAAGAGTAGGCCTTCCTTCCCCCGGCTGCCAGCACCAGCTTCCCTCCGGCTACTGGCAGCCACCCAGACCCAGGCTTCCCTCACGGCTGGCTTTTGTCTGGAAGGTTGTCAGGTCTAATTAGCATATCACACTTTTATTATTATAGACTAGAGGCCCGGTGCATGAAATTCATGTACTGGGTGTGTGTGTCTCTTAGCCCAGCCTTCACCCTCTCCAATCGGGGACCCCTCTCACAATCCAGGAGTGCAGGCCTGCCTGATTGACCCCAATTGTTTGCCTGCCAGCCTGATCACCCCCTAACCACTCCCCTGCCAGCCTAATCAATGCCAAATTGTTCCCCTGCCCTCCCCTGCTGGCCAGGTTGCCCCTAGTTTCTAACTGCTCTCCCCTGATGCTCTTATCACCCCTAACTGCCCTCCCCTGCTGGCCCAGTCACCCCTAACTTCCCTCCCTCACCAGCCTGGTCACCCCAGCTGCCCTCCCCTGCAGGCCATCTTGTGTGTTGCAGTGGCGGTCAATTTGCATGTTATTATTATATAGGATTATTATAGAAATAAGTGAAATTTCTATTGATGTAATATGAGCTACAAGTATGGATTTTGGCTCTTTTTTAGTGTTCAGGCAATAACTCTTGGTATTACAAGTATTCCTCCCTTCAAAAAGTTCACATTAGGCCATTTTATTTTCACAAGAGACCTACATTAATCCCCGTTTTCACTAATTGGAAAAAGTGTGACATGAACTTTCAGAATGTGGAGGATACTCTTCAGTTTATACCACTGTGGCTTATAAAAGGTTTCATGGGAACACTACTTTGGATCGTGGAAACCTGTGTGGAGGTGGTTTGTATCTGTCAGTTGGCCCTCCACTGATCATCCTTACGGTGGGATGCTGACACTTCCCAGTGGTATACAAACAGCATTATTCCACATTTTATTCAAAATTCTATACACCAGGCTAAAGGGATCAACTAGTTTTCTTCTCTTCCTATCTCAGGGGAACGTCCCTATTGTTGTGACCAGTGTGGTAAGCAGTTCACCCAGCTCAATGCTCTCCAGCGTCACCATCGGATCCACACGGGGGAGAAGCCGTTCATGTGTAACGCATGTGGAAGGACATTTACTGACAAGTCCACTCTCCGGAGGCATACCTCAGTAAGCAACAGTATGGCTTAAGAATGGCAAATTGCTTGTCCCTATGTATGCAAAACCCTAGACAGTAAGAAATGCGTGGAATTCCATAAGCTGGTTATAGAAGACAAACAACAGGTATTTTCTTCTTGAAGTTTTGTCTGCAGTGAGCACATTCATAGTGTGAATGAAGTAAAGAACCAAATCTTGAGGTCCAGGAAGGCACAATCCATGATAAACACTTTCCAACAGTGACAGCAGTGGTAAAAAGATACTTGGCAATTAGTAAAAGGCACTGCTGCAGTAGAAACTTAAAGTGAGGAGAGACTATTGTTTTAAAAGATGTATTTAATAAGTAACTAGAATTGGAAGATTTACAGATATTTGTTCAGACACATTTGGTGACTTTTGTGTTTTATTTGTAGGTTCATGACAAGAATACGCCATGGAAGTCCTTCCTTGTTATTGTAGACGGCTCACCCAAGAATGATGAAGGGCATAAGACTGAACAGCCTGATGAGGAATATGCATCATCCAAACTTTCAGATAAATTGCTGTCTTTTGCTGAAAATAACCATTTTCACAACCTGACCACAGTCCCAGGCAGCGTATCTACTGTGCATGAGAATAGTTCTGCCAATATCACCTGCAAGTCGGACAACTCTGTGGTGTCCCAGGATGCTCTGCTGGCCACCACCATCAGTGAGCTCAGTGAGCTGACACCACAGACAGATTTGATGCCCACACAACTTCACTCATTGACCAGCATGGAATAAGCTTGAAGTGTCCAGCTAAGTAGGCCCCATCCTGCATCTCGTGTGATAGAGTGTGCAAAGGTGATGTATCAGGAGCCAAGAAAAAGAACCATCTGTAGGCAAAGAAGTGGGCATTCAAGAATTTTCCACAATTTCTGATAACTTGCATGCTTTTAACAAAGCATTTTGAAGCTTTTCCTTAAAAATCCTGATTTGCACCACCTCAACTACACTTTATCAACACATAAGGCAATTAACATAACCTCACTTAATTCTGGTGTAGGCTGTTATATGCGTGAATCATTCTAATGCTTGATTGTCTTGACGTTTATGAAGCTTAACTATTTACCTTAATAGAGTACACAGCTTATGAACTTACTTTTAATGGTCTCCTTAATCTCTCAGCCTGCATTATACTTCCAGGCGGGTGTATTTCTCTGATACTTTTAAGATAGTTTTCTACCAAGCTGAAATAAAACTGGGGCCACATATTTTTAATTGTTTCTTTCCTGCCGAATTGAAGCAAATCAGATTTGCTCTAAGCACTCTTGAATGGAACTGAAAAAAATGAATTACTGCATTCACTCCTCCCCTAACCCTACACTAAATAAAGGAATGACAAATTGAACACCTACAAAATTGTTTACTATATAGCCTCTACTCACAGTGTACGTGTGGCTAGGAAATTTGTCATAAAATAGTTTTTGAAATGAAATGAGGCTATTCATTTTCATTCCTAAAAATCTGATAAGGTAAAAGCTGTCCTACCAAAGATTTTAGTAGCAAACTAGTATTTTCTTGTTCTTTTTGCAAAGAGGTACGAAAAATTAAGCAAGAGGCTTTAGAGCAGAACACTTGAAACTCATGTAGTTATTTTACTCACGAGTAGCAATGAGGTGACTGTGGATAACCTTAGAGCAGAGAACATTAGTATTTCTGCCTGGTTTTTCTGATTTAATTTTCGTGATTTTTCAGAAAAATCAGAACTTTCTCATGGTCAAATCAAGAGCTAGAAACAGGCATATAAATGTCACACATTTGTTGGGAGTATGCAAGCAGAAGGGACCAAAAGCCTTGGCGCACATCCTTGATTATGCCTTAAAAGTAGATTGTGAAGAACCAGTACTTATCTTAAATGCTCCTTTGGCTGTCTCATGCTGGATTTTACAATGAAGAGATAATTCTGCTGTATTTGCTAAGCTTAATTCTTGGTTCCAGTGGCTTTTGTATGTAGTCGTGACTCATATATAACCCTAAGCATATTAATTTAAACACAACCTTAGAGTCTTTTGTTTACCAGATTTTCTACATTTTAATTTATTGACTTGCTGTGAAACACTTTAATTTTTGAGAAGAGTTCTGAGAGAAAGAACTTATTCATAAGTTCCAGGTTGAAGACGTAGCTGCGCCATGCCAGAAACTGAGGAGGGAAGACTTTCTTCCTATGTGCTTATTTTCTAGTTGGTGACATGTTACATACTAAAGCCACTATACAGTGTTTTAGGTGCTGACAACATGTCTGACACCTGCTCTTAAAGACAGCAGTACTTAACTACTTCAAATACAGTTACGACAACATATCCTAGTTGTGTTTACAGAACAACAGTAACAAAAAAGTGACTGTTACACAACCGTTCTGTTCTTGGAAAGAGAATGAATTGGCCAACTGATGTACTGTTTCATGGAGTAAAGTCATTTTAATGAGAAGGAATTTAAATAATAGATTATTTTGCTACCTACTAGAAGAATTTTTGTCTTGAATTCGTTTCTTTAGAAATTCTAACAAAAAATCGTTTACTGTTAATAAACGTTTGCTTTGTAAAACAGTTTTGCAAGTCTTAAGTTTTTCCTCCATTATTGAAATGTAGGCTCTGTAAATAGAAACAAGTATAATTTCCTTAATTTCATGGATACTGAAGTTTAAAATCAAGTTTATAGTCGTAGGCGTAATCTCTTCAGTTATAAGCATGTGGATTGCACATTACTGCTCTAGGAATAAAAGGGCTGGTGGTAAAACTGCCCTCTGCTTATGTAGAAGTACTCTGTGCAGCTGGTGCTGTGGAGTGTAAATGGACAGGTTTCTTCAATGTCATGTTTAAGTTTGCATCATGGAGACTTCATGCATCTACTTCTTTGTCGGCTTCCCAGGGGGTAAAGCAGCCTCTAACAGAACTCTGAAAACTGGAAGACTCATCACTGAGGGATCTGTGGGATATCTACCCCTATTTCTCTTAATCCAAGTACAGCCTCCCACGGTGAAAGCAAGCTACTGCCTCACCTGTGAGTCCTAATGCCATGGTTAGGAAAGTGCCTTTGGTGCTGGCACTGCTTCTCCTAGAGCATCAGATCAGGCAATTATGAGGTGATTTAGTGCCTTCCAAACGTGGGAAATAGTCTCTGCCTGAACTCCAAAGACCTCTACAGCCTTTGGTTTTACCAAACTTCTGTGTTACAATTTGGGGGGAAATGGGTCATGTGGTGGGAGAAGACCTTTATTAAAAGTAACTTTAAGAGAAATGTAGTTTTGCTATCGATAATAATCCAAATCAACAAATTTGAATATGAATTATAATTTAATCTTAACCTGTTAAATTTTATACCTTGTCACCCCGGGGCATTTTTTTGAGACAAAATGAGTGATTATTCCTTTAATTAAACTTGAGTGTGAAACTTGAAGTAACTACCGTGTTTCCCCCAAAATAAGACATCCTCCAAAAATAAGACCTAGCACATGGAAAAATAAGACATCCCCTGAAAATAAGATCAAGCGCATCTTTGGAAGCAAAAATTAATATATAAGATCCTGTCTTATTTTCGGGGAAACGGTATATTATTTCAGTGGCAGGAGGACACACATGTGAAGGACCATTTATTCACATGTACTAGTGTCTAGATGGGGGCAGTATGACTGAGCAAGCTTCAAAGACAGGGCAGAGGACCAAACAGCATGCCACCTAGCCAAGCCCCAGAAACCACCCACTTACCTTAGCCAATTTTACAGGGACTCTTACCAAGGCTGGCAAAACCAGGTTTTTAAGCCATCATTGTGGCTTCTTTCTGTTAGGAAATAATGATTGTGAGATAAACCTTGAATGATCAACAACTACTTCTCAGGATTCCTAGGTTGGGATGGCCTGTTATACCATTCTTTTTTCAAAATTTAGTTTGAATTATTTTTAAGTTGTAAATACACTCAAAGACTATAACACTGATCTTTGATGGGATGAACTGATCCACAGTACCCCCCATGGCACTCTCTTCCTCCATAGAACTTGGGGCCTGAGTGGCAGGGGGTTCAGCCTTCCCTAGGGGCATGTGCTGACCCTGTACAGACATCTGCAAAGGTAAATGCCCACACTGCCAACGGACTTGAGTGGCTTCATGGCTCCTTCATCCCCTCACCCCCCCCCCTCCCCCAGCAGTTTTCTGTGAACCAATCCTTAACTTTGCAAGTGTCTGTAGCCCAACATTCCTTAAGGGGGCAGCTGAAAGGGATGAGAACAGGAGGTTTACAGTCACTGCAAACTTTGCGGATTGTATTAACAGACTAAAACCAGGGCTTCTTTTGTAAATCCTCAGCTTCCAAAACCTTTACAGTGCCCTGAATTTCCACCACGTAATAGAGATTTTAACATAGTCAAACTTATATTTCAATGGATATACAAAGAGCCTAGAGAATATTAATGTTCACTGTCTTCAACTTAATAGGAACAAGTTCACGGAAAGGAAGCTATTTGTGACTTGTGTAGATTTGGGTAGCAAAGACCTGTCAAAAATATAACTCATAATTCCCATTTTATTTATTGTACAAGTTCACATAAAACACACATACACTTTCTGCTACAGTAGCTTTATGGTTAGTTTCTATGATACAATCCTCCACCGGAAAACACCAGTGACCGACTCGGAGCTTCCCAGGCTGGACCCTGCACGCGCGCCACTACTGGTAGGTCACGAGCAGCACTGTGCTGCCAAACCCTCCAAAGGAAGCCACAGAGGTTTGCATTTGAATATTTTAAATGCACAGCATCAGAGGAAACGGTAAATGCACACAATTTGGTTATAGTGACATCATCACACAGTCACAACTGCAAAAATACTGTTTTCAAATCATTAAATAAAAAAAGGAACTTGCACAAGCTATAAAAAACGTTGCCACTGCTGATTTTGGCTATGAACGAACTCCAGATTTGCTAAAATACAAGAACTATAACATAACAGTCATTATATTTTGTTCATAAATAACATTCTCTAGATCCTGAGAACATACCTTGGGCCTCTGTGTCACAGCTACCCTACATTCAACAATGCAACATTTCAAGGAAGGTTTTGGATAGTTAGTGGGGTTTTCTCCCTCTCTTCCTTTCACCTACTAGCAAGTCTGTTCTGGTCATCACAGTTATTTTTACTCTTTCATGTGAAATATTTAAAAGTTCTTAACTCAGGCACTGATACCGTAGCTTATTTCAAAACAGCAAGTCTCTGACATCACAAAATGTTACCAATATTATTTTTTAAAAACCATACCTCTTTTTCAGGTGGGTTTGTTAAGGAATCATGATAAAGCTAAATGGAACTGCCTTAAAGCATTTAGTTTTTACTAAAAGAAGGCTCTTTTAAAGAGTGGAAACACACTTTGTAAACTAGTGATGGAAGAAGCATGTAAACTAGTGATTGGCCGGGATTTACATGTTCTCCAGATGAGCAGACCTATGGCCAGAGGACACGGGCTGCAAAAGCACCCCCCACGCCTCACTTTCACAAAGTGCATCTGGGAAAAAGCTCGTTACAAAAGCACAGTTGGATGGTTGTGGAATTTATTAGATAAAGCAACAGAACCCCATTTTCTATAATATTTTCATAAGAGAGTCCAATAGGAAATCAAGTACCAAACAAGCTCGTTCCAAATCTGTACTGTAACAGCCAGCTTTAAGAATCCCTGACTTTCGAAGGAAAAAATAAATCCTTATCAGATTACGGGGCCCAAAGCCAGCGTGCCCATGTCTTCTGGTCCATTCCCTCGGCCTTCAGAGAATAGTACGACAGCTTCCTCTCCATCAGCCCACCTTGCACACATCGCTCTCAAGTACAGCCAGGAATCTGCACAGCCACCTGAGAAACAGCCGCCACAGCTGGGCCTCAGCTGCCCTTTTCTTTTTCTTTCTTTTTTTTTTTTCCTCCCCCCCCCCCCCCTTTCCTTTTTTGCATTATGTGAGTTGCTTATAGAGAGAACCCTGGTCTAAGATGACATTAACCAGAATTAAGAAGCAGGACAGAAAGAGAACTGTATGTTTTTTTCTAATGAAACAGTCCTTAATGATCTACCATCTGTGGATATAAAACAAATTTTTATTTTATAAGACCTGAATTGGAAAATATGTTAAATGTTAACTATTTCAACATCGCTTAATGCTTGAACACTAAATGCAACCTTCCTGTTAAGCATCTGACTTATGCTCAAAAAACTTTCTTCTGAGGTTCCTTATGTCTGACTAGATGTCAGCATTAGGAAAGTCTTTGGGTTTGAACCCAGATCTTATTCTCTGTAACTTCTGTTACTTAGTCCTAGCTCTTCAATTGGCTTAGTGTGGTTAAGATCAAGAATAACTGTCTCACCCTAGGTGGTTTTGTTCAGTGGTTAGAGCATCAGGCCACAGATTAAAGGGTCGTGGATTCAATTCTGCTCAACATCATGTACCTCAGTTGCAGGCTCAATCCCCAGCCCCAGTCAGGGGCATGTGCAAGAGGTGGCTAATTCATGTATCTCTCTCACATCATTGTTTTTTTCTTCCTGTCTATCTGACCCCTCTCTACTACTCTCTCTAAATATCAATGGGAAAAAATATCCTTGGGTGAGGATTTACAAAATAAAAAAAATAAAAAAAGAATAACTGTCTCACTGCAGACTGGCCACTCACTAGCCACTATGGAAAACAATGTGAACTTACCTCAAAAAATTAAAAACGGAACTCCCATTTGACCCAGCGATCCCACCTCCAGGAATATATGCCAAGAATACTGAAACACCCATCAGAAAAAATATATATATGCACCCCTATGTTCTTAGCAGCACAATCCACAATAGCTAAGATCTGGAAACAGCCAAGTTCCCATCAGCAGATGAATGAATATAAAAAGCTGTAGTACATTTACTCACTGGAATACTATGCAGCTATAAAAGAGAAGGAGCTATTACCCTTTGAGATAGCATGGAATGACCTGGAGATGATTATACTAAGCAAAATAAGCTAGTCAGAGAAAGACAAATATATGACCTCACTTATATGTGGAATCTAATGAACACAATATAGTGATGAATAAAATAGAACCAGAGGCATGGAAACATGCAACAGACTAAGGAATCTCAGAGGGAAGGGCTGGAGGGGGTGGGGGATGGAGGGAGAGATTAACTGAAGAATTTATGTGCATATATGCATTGCCCATGAACATAGATAAGAGGATGCTGAAGGCCTGGGGCAGGGTGGGAACCAGATTAGGGAGGGGAAGGAGGTTAAAAGGGGGGAGATACTTGTAATACTCTCAACAATAACAATTTAAAAAATGAACTAAAAATAAATACCTATTTCTGATGGAATCCCAAAATGGGAAAAAAAAAAAAATAGAATGTCTCTGATGATGCATTTTTTAAACCTCTTTTTTGTTTGTTTAGTCTATTCATCCCTATTTCAACTGTTTCTCATCATAGTTAATGAGTCTTGTATCTATCTGTTTGTCCTTCCTGAACTTGCCCTAGTTTATCTTGTACCTCTTAAAGAACCACCAAATTAGATACCAGTGTGACCTTCTTGAACTCAGCTGCCCTTTTCTTTTTCTGCTCCTTTCTCCCTCACCCCAGATTAACCCATTCATTCACCATCCCCAAACCTTCTTCCTCACTGAGCTCTCTATCTGGGCACACTCTACAAAGCCTATTAATTCCAATTGAGGGCCACCCCAAAATGAAAATATCATTTAAATACTAGTTACTATCTAACATAACATGGGAAATTTCAATAATGAGAACAGCACAAGTTAGAAAAATACACAGGCTATATATGGCAACAAATGTACATCAAATGTAAATCATTTAAGCCTAAAAATAGGCACAGAGGAGCTCTGGCCAGTTTCACTCAGTGGTTAGAGCACACCAAAGGGTCATGGGTTAGATTCCTGGTCTAGAGCACATACCTGGGTAAGTTTGATCCTGGGCCCTGGTTGGATCATGTGTAGGAGGCAACCAATTGATGTGTCTTTCTCACATAGATGTTTCTCTTCCCCTGTTCCACCCATTCAGTCTCTCTCTAAAAAAAAAAAAAAAAAAAATCAATGGAGAAAAATATTCTTGGGAGAGGATTAACCAAAAAAAAAAAAAATATATATGTACAGAGGAGATTCAAAAAACAAGACCACATCTAAAGTACAATGTCAGCATGTAAGATAAAGGGTAGGGATCAAGTTCATAAATTAAGAGAGTACTTATCATGTAACACAAAAGGACAGAATTCAAAGTTCAAATACAAAAGCTAAAACAATCCCATCAGCTAAGAAGAAAATACAGTCTCCTGAGAAACTAGTTGGAGGCATATATTATAGTAAATCTCTGTACCATATACACCCTACCTAACCCATCATGGTCAAGAAATAAAGTTAGTATTGAAACCCTTTCTCAAGCTTTGACTTCTAATCTCTGGGCCCTAATGAGGATGTGCATGACCATAGCATCAAGGCAGGCATCTTAATGTGGGAAAGAGTATGACCATGAAAGTAAACAGAAGGGGTGTGCCAGTTACAACACCTTTATGTGAATATAAAGAAAGGGATTTCCCCGCCAACTAAAAGTTGAAACCAAGTCTAGGAAAAGGAAAATTTCCATTTCTCACAGATCTTATCTATATATATTTGTGTGTGTGTGTGTGTGTGTGTGTCTGTGTGTGTGTGTGTGTGTAAATACAAAGCAGTCAAAACCCACCTTGACATTCATTCACACACATAAGCAAATGTAAGGGATGCAGGCAGACCTGTGTTCTGAATTTTCACATGCATGTTAGCATAGGGAATAATATCAAAAGCAGAAACTGGTCATCAAAAAATTACAAGATAACAACAACAAATTTACAATAAGGAAAGTCATCAACTGATTCCTAACAACCACCCTAAACTAAACACATACACTTAGAGAATACATCCAGATGCAAATTCACAGAGTATACAAAGCATTGATTAGAGCAAACTGGGTTAGATACTCAAGTCCAAGAAAAAAGACAGAATATGTGGCAAAATTAAACATGACTGCAAATATCAAACAAGAATAAAATTCTGAAGCAGTACTCAGAAAACTCTGGGGACTCTGGCAAGCATGAAATAGCCACTCACACCCACAATATGCACTGGAGATTCTTTTATCCACTTGCTTAACAGGGATATAAACATGGCGAACACACACGCATTGTTTAATTCATGTGCAACAAAACTAAGCCATTAAGTGGGTATCCCATAAAGATCACTTGGCCCTAAGAGGAACTAAAAAGGAGTTAGCCGCATGCCACAAAGACATATAAATGTTTCACTTTAGGTCTCCGTCTCCTTCTCCATCCCCTTGGATGGACTTTTTGATACGAAGCAACATGGTAGTAAGCCACTGATCCAAGCGAGATATTGAGTCAAATTCCTTCACCTAGTTTAAGGTTAGAGGAACAGGAATTAGTTTATGGAAATGCAATTGAAATAAAGCAGCTGTTTAAATTTAAATAGTGATATTAAACCCACTTTCTTCATTTAAAATTATTCATTCCAGTTCATAACAGCCATTAAAAATTATTTTTTCATTATTCTCTATTTTGATGGCGCTATTAACAAGTTTATGTGCCTTTTATATTGCTCTGTATATAACAAGTGATGACAAAAATCCCTAACAGCCTTTATAATTGGAAAAAGAGCACAATTTTTATGACAAAGGAAATGGCAAAAGATAGGAAAACAGAAGATAGATGAATATAAAGAAAAAAAAATCTTCCATTTGTTATGCCAGGAATATAGTAAACTCTCACTGCTTTGTTTTTATATTTTAAAATATACTGAACTGATTTTACTTTACATTTATTATGGAGCATATTATTTTCAAAAGAAAACATTTAAACAGCAAATTATAACAGTATATGGTTTTTTTTCCTTGTCTTGAATTTGCCTTATAAATTTACCATGGTTAATGAAACAATATAATTGTATAGATTTGAAGGATATATATATAAAAAAAAACATGACTCTTGGAAAATACAATTAGTTATGCTGGAATAATGTTCAAATAAATGCTCACATTTACAAAATGAAAAGAAGAAAAAGTTTGTGTAATAAACCTTTGAAGTATGTATTATATTTCAAAGACATAACTTACTGCTTCAGTGTAAGCTTCACTGTTCTGTTCTTCATGAGCTTCTAGAAGTTTCTAGTAACATAAATATGGGAAAATTAGTTTGGTAGGCTAAAAAAGTTCCATCTGTGAATAGAGAGATACTTTAATCACAGAAATAGCCTTAATATCACATTAACTGATGTTGCAAATACTTCATAAAATTGGAGAAATATTCAAGTACAAATAAAGAATTACCCAAGCTCTGAGTCCATAAATGTGCTAACATTTCTGAACTGCCTGCAGAACACACACTAAGTCCCTGACTCTCAGTGAGATTTGAAACCCAACAGCAAAAGTAGGAAAGGCTCTTCTGCGGATTTATCCTTCACTTCACACCCAGTTCCACCTGCAGCAAAGGCTTTTTCTTCAAAGTTCTAATATTACTTACTTTCAATAATTTACATTCTCTTGAATCAGTAAATGCTGGAAACATTTCCTCATATTTCTCAAGAGCAAGCTGAGAGAGAAAAAACACTGGTTAATGTAATCCAGGAAACAAAGCTTTGAACGTTCTTTTTAAAAATGTTTTTATTTTTTAAACATATTTTTATTGATTTCAGAGAGGAAAGGAGAGAGATAGAAACATCAATCATTGATTGGCTGCCTCCTGCACTGAGGGTAGACTTGCAAACCTGGGCATGTGCCCTTGACCAGAATCAAACCTAGGACCCTTTGGTCCTAGGACCCTCAATGCACTATCCACTGAGCCAAACCAGCTAGGGCTGAACATTCTATTAGTTTCAGCAAGACTCATCTACATCCTATTTAACTGTATAAGTATGTATTAAACTCATCAAAATCACAGGAATCCTATGTATTTTGATTTTCAATTTCAGTTAAGAATCTATTTCTAAACCAATTTTCCAGAATTAGGTTCCTGTAGAGAAGATTTTGTAAACCAAATCTAATTCTTAAAACTCTTAAAAATAAACAGGTGTCTTATTTATTTATTTTTTTAAGGTACCCAGTTTAGTCTTGCAACTAACAAATATCACCCAAACCAAGTAATATCAAGAACAAGAGTACCGGAATAAGGCCCACTCTCATGGGTAATGTGCATCAGTACACTAGTACCGATGGACTGACCATACCTTGGCATTCAACTCATCGACTATGAAGTGACAGAGGGCTGCTTTAAAGAAGTAATCCTTTGCACTGTACTTCAACAGGGGATTATCCATGGTGTTTGCCCCAACCTAGGCACAGAAAGCAGTTAGATGTAAAAGGTTTGTTTTATTTGCTTTTTTTAAAAATTGAATTTATTGAGATGATATTGGTTAATAAAACCATATCTACAGGTTTCAAGTGAACAGCTCAATAAAACACATCTACATAGCACATCATGCACTCATCACCCGAAGTCATGTCTCTTTCCGCCCAGTTTATCCCCCTTTGTCCACTTTCTCCTCCCCACATCCCCTTTCTATCTGGCTATTACTACACTGTAGTCCATGTCTTTGTGTCATATATAATATATTTTTTTAAAGGTCTGGCTTCTTACATTAGGCAAACTAATTGTCATCTATTGCCTTTAGAAAATAATTCTGTATCTTACGTTAGTTTAGCTATGAAATACATTCTTTTGATGCAATAGTATAACTAGAAAATTTTACTAGAAGAAATAATATCGAACACATACAATGCTAACCACTTAAAAATGAACTCAGAAGACTTTGACCTGTAGGAAGATGGAACAGACATCCTTTCCTCTATTCCCGAAGTATGACTAAAATCCCCCGTCATTTTATATGAAACAAATGTAAAGCTGAAAGGCGAAGAGAAAACTGAAGACTGATAGGGACCCTGAGACACAACGGAAAACCTGACAGTGAATTCCCTGGGTTTTCTTTTTCTTTCATATATTCCTGACTTTTTATAGAAAAAGCTGGCATAAAAGTCATTGGATACAGAAAAAAAGAAAAAAGAAAAAAAAAAAAAGACTAGATAAAAGTTTGCTATCTCTAGCCAAAGGACTAAGGAAGAGGCAGTTTAGCATAGTAAAACAAAAAATGTTTAGACAACAAGTGCTCTATTCTAGCCAAATACCACAAGAAAGCTGTGGCCTTCACCTCAGTCAACTCATCAAACGCGAAAGAGGAAATCAAGATGTCCATCCTTTTGAGACTGCAACGAGGAGCCCAACATTCCTGCCTAGGTGACTTAGCAATGAGCCCACTCTTTCCCCGGCAGCTGGGGCAGTGCAGCCCACAGGCAGCTGGATTTCACATCTGCCTGGTAGAACCTGGTATTCTCATCTCCCAGCAGGCATGGTTTCAGAAGAGGCCGAGTGGAGGTTATGACTTTCACCATCAGCTGGCAGTAACAAGGACAACCCCACCATGGAAGTGGTGGACAGCAAGTAGGAGCTGAAATGAAATGAGGGCCTACCCCCAGATGTCAACGGAGGCCAAGTGGGAAGCCTCCACCTGGCAGTAATGAGGCAACACACCCTTCCCCAGCCAGAGCAATGTCATAGAAAGCCAGCTGACAACGGAGGTTTAAGTAATAGGGTTAGGGTTAGGGTCAAAATGTTCAGTTTTCAATACAAACTTACTCGCTACACAAAAAAAGGGAAAGATCTTAAGCTGAATGAAAAAAGACAACCAACAGATGACAGCTCTTAGATGGCAGAAATGTTAGTATTACATAACAAAGGTTTTGAAAGAGCCCTCATAAAAATGCCTCAAAATAGTAACACAAAAACACCTGAAAGTAAAACAAAAACAACAACAACAACAACAAAAAAGCAAAATCAACATCAACAAAAAAGAAATCCACAACAAAAAAACCCAGAAGACAAAGAAGAACCAAATGGAAATTTCAGAACGGAAAAACATAAAACCGCATAAAAAGTAGATTGGCTCAACAGCTGAATAGGACAGATGAAAGAATCAACAAACTGATGAAAGAACATTAGAAATTAGTCTCAACAACAGAGAAGACAGAAAAAACAATAAACAATAAACAAACCATCAGGGACCTATGTGATCATGAAATGAGGTCTAACATTAGGATCCTCTGAGACTTGGAAAGGGAGGAGAAAAAGAGAGCAGCTAAAAATATATTATAAGAAATAATGGCTAAAAATTCCCCAAATTTGGCAAGAAGCAAGAGCCTATAGATTCAAGAAGTTTAGTGAAACCCAAACAGGATAAAAGCAAAGCTATCTATGCCACACCACATTAACTTCTGAAAACTAAAAATTAAAGAAAAAAAAAAACTTGAAAGCAGCCAGAGAAAAATAACCTCTTATTTACAGGGGAAAATCAATGTGAATAACAGCCAACTTTTTACCAGAAACCACAGTGGTCATAAGTGGCACTTTTTCAAGTCCTAAAACAAAACAAAAAACATCAACCCAGAATTGTATACCCAAGGAAAATACGCTTCAGGGAGGAAAAGAAAATCAAAACATTCCCAGATAAAGGAAAACAAAAATATATGTTGCCAACAGACTTACCCTAAAAGAATGGTAAAAGGATATTTTTTAAGCAATAAAAGACTGAATCTCAAAACATCAGGAAGGGAGCAAGAACACAGCAAACAAAATATGGTGAATACAATGAGCTTTTCTTCTCTTGAGTTTTCTAAAGTATGTTTGATGGTTGAAGCAAAAACTGTGGTTATAAAAGTATGTAAAGAAAACATTTAAGACAATTATATATTGAACAAAGAGTAAAAAGAATGGTAAGATTTTTATATTTCACTTGAAGTAACAAAATGAAGTCCCCATTAGCCTATGATAAGTTATACAAATGTAACAGCTAGAGCAATCACTAAAAAAGCCATACTATTAATATAAAACACTACACATAAGCCACCCACCGGAAGGCAGGAAAATAGAAAACAGAGAAATGTAAAATAACATAAATAGAAAACAAATATAAAATGATAAATGTAAACCCTAATATAACAATAATTATAATAAATGTTGTCTAAATATGCTAATTAGCAAAGTGAATTAAAAAGCATGACCTAACAATAAACTGTCCATAAGAAACTCACTTCAATTATGATACAAGAGGCCCGGTGCACGAAATTCATGCATGGGGAGGTAGGGGATGTCCCTCAGCTCAGCCTGCACCCTCTCCAATATGGGACATCCCTCTCACAATCCACGATTGCTGGCTCCTAACTGCTCACCTGCCTGCCTTCCTAATTGCCCCTAACCACTCTGTGTGTCAGCCTGTTAGTCCCCTAACCACTACCCTACTGGCCTGATCGACACCTAACTGCTCCCCTGCCGACATGATTGTCTCCAACTGCCCTCCCCTGCGGGCCCGATTGCCTCCGATTGTTGGGCTGAGGGGACTGGGGACTCCAGCTAGATGAGGTGGGACTGGGGGACTCCGGCTGGATGAGGTGGGATGAGGGGGCTGGGTGCCACCATCTTGTGGCTATGTGTGCCGCCATTGTGTGAGGGCTTGGCAGTCAATTAGCATATCCTCTCTTTATTGGCTTGGGTGCCACAATCTTATGAGAAGATGATGGTCAATTAGCATATTCCCTCTTTATTAGATAGGATAGGCTGGTCAAAAGAAAAAGACATATATAAGCATTAATCAAAAGAAAGCAGAAAAGGCCTGTATTAATATCAAACAGAGTAGACTTCAGAACAAAGACAATTACACTATACAGAATGGGGCAAAAGTAGATTTACAGTTGTTCATATGGAAAATAATACAATAATTAATAAAAAGTAATACAAGAATAAATTGTGTTTTGCATACTCACAACTATAAACCTACATTTGCCTCACTCTGTATAATGATAAAAGTGTCAACCCAACAAGAAGACAGCAATCCTAAACATGTATGCAGCAAGCAGCAGAGCAGACTGACAGAAATGAAAGAAGAGATACACAAACCCACAAAAAAGTGCAGACTTCAACACTCCAAGCTCATCAATGGATAGCTCTAGAAAGGAAAATTAGCGAGTATACAAAACTCAACACCATCAACCAAGGAAACCTAATTAACATTCATAGAACATGCAACCCAGGAACAGCAAAACTACAGAACATAGGCCAAGAAAGACCATATGCTGGGCTATAAAACCAACCCTGACAAATTTATAAAAATTGAAGAGTGCTTTCCAATAACAGTGGAATCAAACTAGAATTCAACAACAAAAAGATACCAGGAAAATCTCCAAACACTTAAACTTCCCAACTCATTCTTTGGTAGTTATTATCTTGCTACCAAAATCAGACAAACACATCACAAGAAAAAAATTAAAGATCAGTATTGGTATACCTTATGAATATAAATGTAAAATCCTCAACAAAATATTAGCAGAACAATTTTGGCAACTTGTAAAAAATTAATATAGTTAAGGATTAATTTGTCTAAAGTGAGGTCTGGCCTTTGTCCATGACTCCTGGGTGGTAATTTCTAAACCCTTCAAATGTCCTGCCTGATAAGAGTCAACCACATCTACATGACTGAGCCCCAGTAAAAACTTCAGACACTACATTCAGTGAGCTTCCCTTCTTGTCAATACTCTATGCATATTTTCACATATTGTCAGGTGAAGTTAGTGCTGTCTGTACAACTCTACAGGGGAGGACAACAGAAAGTTCCACATTTGGAACTCTGGACCCTACCCTATGGCAGGCACCTCTTACTTTAGCTGAGTTAAATTTGTATCCTTTTTATAATAAAACGTAACTGTGAGTATAACACCTTCCATTGAGTTCTATGAATCCTAGAGAATTATTAAACCTGAAGATGCTCTTGGAGTCCCCTAAACGTTGCAATGACCAAGGAAGATTTGTCCCAGGAATATAAGGTTGGTTCAACATATAAAAATCAATGAAATATACTATCTTAGAAGACTTAAAGGAAAAAAAAAAAACAAAAAAAACAGCTGATCCTCTCAATAGATGCAGAAAAAGCACTTGACAAAAGCCAATATGCTTTGATGATAAAAACAGTTAAAGCAGGAAGAAAAGAGAACTTCCTCAAACTAATAAAGGACATCTATTAAGAAACCCACAGCTATCAATACACTTAATGGTGAAAAGCTGAAAGCTTTCTTCATAAGATGGAAACAAGGTGAGGATGTCTGCCCTTGCTACTTCTATTTAACGTTGTGCTGGAAATTCTAGCCAGGACAAATGAAAAGAAAATGAAGTAAAGGGCATTCAGATTGGAGAAGTTATGAAACTATCGCTATTGCAGATGACATGATTTTGTATATAAAAAAATATACAAAACAAAAATTAGAGCTAATAAGTTAAGCAAGATTGCAGTATATAAAACTAACATTTAATAATCTGAAAAGGAAGTTAAGAAAATAATTCCATTTATAATAGAGTCAAAAAGAATAAAATACTTAGGAGTATGTTTAACCAAAGAAGTGCAAGACTTGCACACTGAAAACTATAAAACATGGAACAAAACTAAAAATCTAAATAAATGGAAAGGCACCTTGTGTTCACAGACTGTACAACTTGATGACAACATTTTCCAAATTGGTCTATAGACTCAATGCAATCTCCATAAAAATACTAGTTGATTTCTTAACAGAGATTGACGAGCTGATCCTAAAAACTCATTCGGAAATGCAAGAACTCCAAACAGTCAAAGCAATCTTTACAGAAGAATTTGGCCCTGCCTGGTATGGCTCAGTGCTTAGAGAGTTGTCCTGCACATTGAAGAAAGGTTGCAGGTTCGATTTCCATTCAAGGGCACATCCCTGGGTCGCAGGTTCGTTCCCTGCCCTCGCTGGGTGCACATGCAGAGGGCAACTAATCAATGTATCTTTCACAACAATGTTTCTCTCTTTCTTCCCCTTTCTCTCCCTTATACTCTCTCTAAAAATCAATGGAAAAATAATCCTTGGGTGCGGATAAATAAACAAAGTTCCGGAGGTCATTCCAAGATGACTGACAGGTAAACCCGCAGCCGCACACAACAATTTCAATAAAATACAACTAAAATATAAAATGGACATTACCCAGAACTACAGGAAAGTTGACTGGAAATTCTACAACGAGAAGCAAGGAGAAAACCAGAAGGAAGCGCGGAGGACCTGGAAAAGCCTGAGGTACGGAGACACGTGGCGTGCGGAGAGGACGGAGCCAGAGAGGAGGGAGGCGGAGTGCCTGGTTGGTGTTCCCTAGCGGGAAGGAGATAAAAGCTCCGACTGTGTTGGGCCCCAGTTCCAACTGCTCTGAACCCCAGTTCTAGGCCAGACCCCGGGACCCAGGCTCATACAGAGGGAGCTGGGCTGCGAGGCGGAACCCCGGGGAAGCGGGGAAAGGAGGTCCCAGAGGCGCGCACATTGCGCGCAGAGAAGGGACGGCCGGCTGTGCCACGGAATTGCCTGGTGGGAAGGAGACAGGGGCGCCAGACTGCTCCAAACGCCACCTCCAACTCCACTTCCAACTGAACTGAACCCCAATACCGGGCTCATTGGGGGAGAGCATAGACTGTTTGGCAGCAGGCGAAAATCGAGGCGCTTGCAGCGAGCACTGAAGGACCGGCATAGGGCGGGGCTGACGGAAGCCAAGGCTGTAGGCTCCACCCTGAAACCCCGCCCCATCTGTAACTGCGAAATGCGACAACGAAATAGATCACAAATGAAAGAAATGGAGGACAAAAAGCAACTGGATATAGAGTTCAAATCTAGGCTTATAAGGTTTTTCAAGAATTTCCTAGAAAAGATGGATAAGACCTATGAGGATATAAAAAGGGATCAACTAGAATTAATAAGGAATCAACAAGAAATGATAAGGGAACAACAAGAAATAAAGAATACATTGACTGAAATAAAAAATATTATACAGAGTCCTAAAAACAGAATGGAAGATCGCAAGAATCAAGTCAAAGAGTTGGAACATAAAGAGCCAGAAGACACTCCTCCGCAGAACCTAGAAGGCAAGAGAATCCAGAAAATTGAAGATAATGTAAGAAACCTCTAGGACAACTTCAAGCGAACCAACATCAGAATTATGGGGGTCCCAGAAGATGAGAGAGAGCAAGATATCGAAAACATACTGAAAGAAATAGTGACAGAAAACTTCCCCCACCTGGTGAAAGAATTAGACTTACAAGTCCGGGAAGCGCACAGAACTCCAAACAAAAGGAATCCAAAGAGGACCACACTAAGACAAATCATAATTAAAATTCCAAGAGCAAAAGACAAAGAGAGAATATTAAAAGAAGCAAGAGCAAAGAAGGTAGTTACCTATAAAGGAGCACCTATGCGATTGTCAGCTGATTTCTCAACAGAAACCATGCAGGCCAGATGGGAATGGCAAGAAATATTCAAGGTGATGAATAGTGTAAGAACCTACAGCCAAAGATAATCTATCCAGCAAAGCTATCACTCAGAATCGAAGGTCAGATAAAGAGCTTCACCAATAAAAAAAAAGCTAAAGGAGTTCATCACCACCAAACCAGAATTATATGAATTGCTGAAGGGGGTTCTTTCAGAAGAGAAAGTAAATAAAGATAAAAATTATGAACAACAAATACGTAACTATTAACAAGTAAATCTAAAAACCAAGGGAATTAAAAAAAAAATCTGATGAACAATATTACTGTTGAATATAATAGAATCAGAGGTATGGAAGGGGAGTGAACTGACGATTCTTGGGAAAAAGGGGAGAGGAGGATGTGGGAAGAGACTGAACATAAACTGTGCACCTATGGATGAGGACAATGGGGAGTGGGGAAAGGGCATAGGTTGGGGTGGGAACCTGGTGGAGGAGAGCAATGGTGTGGGGGGGGAGGAACGTTTGTAATAATATGAACAATAAAAATTTATTTAAAAAAAAATATATAAAAAAAAGTTCCTTGGAAGACTCACATTTCCCACTTCAAAATTTACCACAAAGCTACAGTAATCAAACAGTGTGATATTGGCATAAAGACAGACATACATATCAATGGATTAGAACAGAGAGCCCAGAAATAAACCTTTGCATATTGGTCAATTTTCAATAAGGTATCAAGACCATTCAATGGCAAAAGGATGATGTATTAAACAAGTAATGGTGGGAACACTGAAAATCTACAGGTAAAAAAGAAGTTGAATCCTTAACTAAGACCATATACAAAACATTAACTTAAAATAGTCTGAAGAACTAAAACTATAAAACTCTTAAAATAAAACATAGGAGGAAAGCTTCATGACCTTGGGTTTGGCAATTTCTTGGATAACACATGAAAAACACAGGCAAAAAAAATTTGACTCAAGAAAAATTTTAAATTTTGTGTATCAAAGGACACTAACAACTGAGTAAAAGGGCAACCCACAGAATAGGAGAAAATATTTGCAATCACTTATCTAATAAGCGATTAATATCCAGAATATATAAAGAACATCTAAAACTCAATACCAAGAAACAAGTAACCTGTTTAAAAAATAGGCAAAGGAACTGAATAAACATTTCTCCTAGGAAGATATATGGATGACCAATAAGCACATAAAAAGATACTCAACATCACTAATCATTAGGGAAATGAAAATCAAAGAAACATTGAGAGACTGCTTCATACTCATGAGGATGGTTCTCAAACAAACAAACAGAAAACAAGGATTGGTGAGGATGCAAAAAACTGGAACCCCTGCACACTGCTGAAAGGATGGTGAAATAGTGTGGCAACCGTGGAAAACAATGTGGCAGTTCCTCAGAAAGTTAACACATGTCCCAGCAATTCCAATAGTAGGTATATAGCCAAAAGAACTGAAAACATACCTTCAACAAAACTTGAACACAAACGTTCTTAGCAACATTATTCATAACTAGAGGCTTAGTGCATGAAATTCGTGCAAGGGGGGGGGGGGTGTCCCTCAGCCCAGCCTGCACTCTCTCTAATCTGGGCCCCCTCGAGGGATTGTCTGACTGCCTGTTTAGGCCCAATTCCACTGAGCTGGCTCCCTATCGCTTGCCTGTTTTCCTGATTGCTCCTAACTGCTTCTGCCTGCCAGCCTGAACAACCCCTAAATGCCCTCCTCTGCCATCCCCTGCCCAGCCCAATTGCCCCTAACTGCCCTTCTCTGCCAGCCTGGCCATTCCTAACTGTCCTCCCCTGCCGGGCTGGTTGCTCCCAAATGCCTTCCCCTGCTGGCCTGGTAACCCCTAACTAAGCTCCCTTTCCAGCCTAGTCGACCCTAATTGCCATCCCCTGTTGGCCTGGTTGCCCCAAATGCTCTCCCCTGCAGGCCTGGTCGCCCCTAACTGTCCTCTCCTGCAGGCCTGGCTGCCCCCAACTGTCCTTCCCTGCAGGCTTGGTTGCCCCCAATTTCCCTCCCCTGCAGCCTGGTCCCCACCAACTGCCCTCTCCTGTCACCAACTTGTAGTGGTCATTTTGTGTCTACATGGTGGTGGCCATAATTGACTACATGGGGGCAGCCATCTTGTGTGTTGGAGTGATGGTCTATTTGCATATTGTCTTTTATTAAATAGGATAGCCCTAAATGAAAATAACCCAAATATCCATTAGTTTATAAATGGACAAACTGGAATATTACTCAGCTTTGAAAATGAATGAAGTATAGCATAAGTGAACCTTGAAAATAAATTTTACTAAGTGAAAGAAGCCAGTCACAAAAGGCCACATACAATATGATTCCATACATATTAAAGGCCTAAAATCAGCAAATCCACTTAATCAGACAATAGTTAGTATTTCCAGGGACTGGAGGAGAGAATGGGGCTTCTTTTGGGGATAAGAATGTTTTGAATTAGGAAATGGTGATGGTTATACATTCTTTGTGAATATACTAAACACCACAGACATGGTACTCCTTAAAAGGATGAATTACATAATGTGTGAATTAGATCTTAATAAAAAGAAAAATTAAATTTATAAGTTAAAAAAAAAAAAGATTCAGAGTAAATTCTGCTGGAAGTTGAACAGACAGCAGTAACCTCACCTGCTCGTAGATCTCGATGGCTTTCTGGTATTGCTCAAGCTGGGCAGCATATGCTGCCACCTTTAGCAGACACTTGTTAGCTGAACTGAAATCAAGAACCAGATCAAAGTAAGCAACAGAGAAATAAAAAGACACCCAGTACTCTTTCATTTGGTACAGTATAGTACACTTCGCTAACAGAGTATAGCAAAGATTTATACTTAACAAAAATCCATTTAATTATGTTAAAAGTAATACTTGCCTGTTGGATTCTTCTCCTTTGTAATAATCAGCCGATTGTTCATAATGTGCAATAGCCTGAAAACACACGCACATCTTATTCAAACTACTTGTTTAAAGAGTTGCATTTAAAAAAACTACACTTGCATGGGTATTTTTTCTTATAAATAAAACTATTCCAACAGTAAACCTTTCACAACTTGGCCTACTTTATTCAGGGAACACAAAAATGCATGCACCTCTGGAAGCCTGGCAGCAGACTGCTCGCTGTCCATCAAAATCTCTTATCGCCCTCCCCCATGGCAAATTCCCAGCTACCATCACTTCGCCAGCCTGCACTGCAGTTAGAGCAGCTATGAGACCTATTCCTTCCAATGAAATATAAACAAACATGCTGTAAACCACTTCCAGGCTTGTCCCATAATCTGACTCTGCATCCTTCTCCAGACCTTCTCCCTTCTCATGAGCCAGCATGGCAATAAAATAGCCAAGTCTAGGGTGACAAAGGAAACCACGAGCTAAAGGTGGCAGGACTTTTGTCAGCCTGGTTCCTAACTAAATACAAAAGGCAGAATGGACCTCAAACCCCATGCCTCACCACTGCCAAACGCAGAGCAGCTATGCTGGATTGTTATTTCTGAGATATGAGAAGCCTATTAAATTTAGATTTAAGGTTTGCTAAAGCAGCACACATTATCCTCACTAATAACCTAAGTGACATCTAGATTAAAGGTCTTGTTTTCACTCTAAAATGTGTGGTGTTTAATTAACAGTCAAGTGGAAAAGAAAGAGTGCAAGCTGGAAAGCTAGAAGCTCTGGTCCTGTGGGACATGGATTAGGTGAAATCAAGCACATGACAACTCAGAAGGCAAAACAGTGCAAGCTGCTCTTTCTCTTGAGAACACCTGTGCCTTCCTCTACCCCTGTGGCCTTTCCCCAGAACTCCCTCTCTCCTCTAGAGCAGACTTAAGTCTTCCCGCCTCTCCTTCCTCCTGGCACATTTTCTTTGCCTTTCTTATTCCTAAGGGCCCTTCTTTTTGCCTCTGTAACTTGTTTCCTGAGCCCATGCAGTCCAGCTGGCTCACTTCTTCCAGGGCTCGCTTGTTCTACCTCTGTGACGAAATAAACTTTGCTTGTATTTGAAACACACACACACACACACACACACACACACACACACACACCCCACATGCCTATTGGAGCTGGAAACAAGGGAAATAAGGTCTATAGAAAGGGCCAGATGATAGTATGCACTATTTTTTAGCCAGGTTTTATAAGAAAAAAGAACTGAAGGAATTAGCTGGTTCATGAAAAGAAACAAAGTCCGGAAATTGAATAAAATTGTAAAGGTCAATATAATAAGGGCAAGAGGTAAGTATAAACAATGTTTTAAATTATGAGTCAGAAACACTTTTCTGTAACAGACCAGATAATAATAGGCTTTATGAACTTTGTATCTCAAGAGCCAGATAATAATAGGCTCTTGAACTTTGTAGCACAAAAGCAACCACAGATGATGCATAAATGAAGGACTGTGGTTGTATGCAAATACACTTTATTCAGGGACAATACAATTTCAGTTTAATTTAATTTTTGTGTTATGAATGCTTTTCCCTCAATGATTAAAGAGCCAGAAAATCATTCTTAGTTTCCAGACATACATAAACAGCTGGTAGATTTGTAGATCCCTGCCTTCAAGGTTTTTCCAGTAAACCTAAAAGAAAACTGTGAGAAAATCAGATTGCAGGTGCTGTCCACCAGTTCAATGGCTTCGAGGCAGTTCTAATGAGTTACGAGAGGCTCAGGGACGGAAAACACACAAATAAAATATATGAGGTTAGGGAAGTGTGTTAGGAAACACTCTGGTGTGCTTACGGGCACAGGGGACTGTCTGGGAGCAAACAGACCTGGCCCATAAAGTGTATGGTCCCCTTTCCTGCAGGTGGTAATGGTTATAACCAAGAATGCAGAGCGACAGGCTGAAGGGGGCAGAGCCAACATTAGCCTTGTCTGGACTGCAGTTTTTTTGTTTTTGTTTAAAAAAAAAAAAAAACATATATATATATATATATATATATATATATATATATATATATATATATATTATTGATTTTTCACAGAGAGGAAGAGAGAGGTATAGAGAGTTAGAAACATTGATGAGAGAGAATCATCCATCAGCTGTCTCTTGCACACCCCCTACTGGGGATGTGCCCGCAACAAAGGTACATGCTCTTGACCGGAATCGAACCTGGGACCCCTCAGTCCGCAGGCCGATGCTCTATCCACTGAGCCAAATCAGTTTCAGCTGGACTGAAGTTTTTAACAAAACTAAACAGTTTTTTCTTTTTTTCCATTACCATACCCTCCTATACCCTCTTCCACCTCTACTCCCTGCCCTCTCCACCCTCCCCCACCATAATCTCCATACTGTCATCTGTGTCCATGATTTCTTTCTTTTTTTCCCCTTTTTTGCTCAACCCCTTCCACCACCTCCCTCCATCCCCCAAAGCTGTATGCCTACTCTCTACCTATGAGTCTGGACAATTTTGTGAAAAATAGACACTTCTGTGTGTGAGTGATCATGTTTTGGGTCTATTTATTTCAGCCACTTAGCCTATCCCAGTGGTTGGTAAACCGTGGCTGGTGAGCCATAAGCGGCTCTTTGGCCACTTGAGTTTTTAGCAAAGGCCAGCTTAGGAGGACCTTAATTAAGTTAATAACAATGTACCTACCAAGATAGTTTAAGTTTAAAAAATTTAGCTCTCAAAAGAAATTTCAATCATTGTACTGTTGATATTTGGCTCTGTTGATTAATGAGTTTGCCGACCACTGGCCTACCCAAACTAATATGCTCCTCTCCACCAAATTTTCTCAGCATTATTTAAACTAGAGTTCTGATGCATGAAATTCATGTACGGGTAGGGTTCCTAGGCCTGGATGGCTGGCAGGGCCAATCTGTGGGGCGACTGGCAGGACGATTGGGGGGAGGTCCCCCGCTGGCACCCGTCTTGGCTGGCCTGGCACTGCCTGCTCACCAGCCCTGCCCTTTATGAACTTTGTATCTCTCTTTGTATCTCAAGAGCCAGATAATAATAGGCTCTTGAACTTGGTAGCACAAAAGCAACCACAGATAATGCATAAATGACTGTGGCTATATGTTCTGATGCATGAAATTCATGCATGGGTAGGGTTCCTAAGCCTGGATGGCTGGCAGGGCCAATCTGTAGGGCGACTGGCCCCACCACAGGTCGCCCCCATCTGCAGAAGTTGACCAATGGGGTGACTGAGGGCCTGCCCTGCCCCTTGCTGCCGCAGGTTGCTTCCCTCTGCAGGGCGAACAGGGGGCCCTGCTAGCACCCGCCTTGGCTGGCCCAGGGCCTGTGGCTGGAGGCAGCTCCTGCATGGAGCATATGCTCCTTGGTGGTCAGCGTGCATCATAGTGACCAGTCACCAGCCATTCCGCTGTACTGTTGATTTGCATATTAGGCTTTTATTATATAGAGAAAACGGGGAACAATTTAAATGGGTAAGTATAATGAGCTACCTTGCTATGATTAAAAGTAATGGATAGAACATTCACTATGGGAAGTTCTTTATGAAATCTTAAAGCCATAAAAGAATAGATACACGATAGTCCTCTCTTTACAAGTACATAGGTTGAAAAGAGTTGGGTTGAACTACCATGTTTCCCTGAAAATAAGACATCCTCTGAAAATAAGACCTACTTACAGATTTCCAAGTGAAATATAAGGCATGCCCCGAAAATAAGGCCCCCCTAGGCTAAACATGAGAGATTTGGTCCACTGATTCTGAAAGAAATGGAGTCACAAGAAATTCACCAGGAAATTCAGGAATTGGATTGTTATGATGATGTTCTAGAAGATGATGACATGATTGTCATTGAATAAATGAGTAAATTCTTGATACTATAGAATTCAGTTTGGTTTGTGTTGACAACTACCATACTACGGTACCGTATACAGGTAATAAATTTCCTTTATTTTCATTTAACAACAAATGTGTACCGTATTCTTCTTCATGGAAAAATAAGACATCCCCTGAAAATAAGACCTAGCGCATCTTTGGGAGCAAAAATTATTATAAGACGCTGTCCTATTTTCGGGGAAATGGTATTTTGGAGGTTAAAAAGACAAAAGAGGCCCAATGTCAAAATTTGGTTTAGCCTAATACTTATTAAATAACAATACTGTTATGTTATAACTGTGAACTTTAGCTAGGTTTATTATAATAAAAGAAAAATTTTAATTTAGTTTTTAATAATGTTAATTAAGCCAATAATAAAAAATTATGGTTTTCCCAAGTTTTGACAGAGACTGAAGTTGAAAGGAGAGCTTATCCACTGGCTTACAGCAGTTTCAGAGTAAACCTGTTGACCACGAGTTATACTGACGTTCCACCTAGTTTGGAGTTTTAACTGGTAGTGAAACTTAAAAAGCATACGCAGAACATTTCACACTAGAAATCAGCCCACTGTAAGTTATAGTCCCAATAATATAAGAAGTAGAACACAGCCACCAACAACAGTAGCACACATAACAGTAAACCCAGAAACCCCCCAGCTGACTATCCTGTGCATAAGTGGCATGCTACAGGGGTCACAAGCCTCCTTGGGAGATTTGGGCCAGTGGCACAGTGCCGCGGAATACATGGTTCCTGAAAGGGAACAAGGCTTTCTAGGACTGCACCATCATCATTAAGGCAAATGCAATTCCCAGGGTGCACTTTGTAGGTAAAACAGCTTTAAATATGGGATCAATTCTTTTAGAACACATACCCCCAGACAGGACTTAACAAGAATTGGACACACTACACAAAACAGTAGCAAACAGTACTAAATCAGGTCCTCTCGGGACTTAAGACAGAAATGAGTCATAATTCCTCTGGACCATTTAAAAAGGACCTATTTATTATCTGGTTCCATGTTTCACTTTGTGAAGTCAAAGAAATAATGTGAATTTATGAAACTTCACTGTTCACTAGCTAAAATCTGTGAATGAATCAGACGACATATTAAAAGGAAAGAAATTCATTTGTCAGAAACCAGATATAAAGTACTTGTGTACTTAGTTTAACTGATTTTTTCAAATAAACTTCACACACCAACCAAAATCTGATAGATCCACCAGAAACTCGAAGACAATGTTTCTAAACATAGGATGCCAAACATCAGAGAACACAATAAGCTAACCTGTGTGTGCCGAGTAATATTCTTAAATTGCTTTTTTAAAAAGAACACAATGAAAAAAGACCAGCTCATAGAATGGCAGGAACCCTGTGAGTAGTGAGCAATGGAGGTTTCAGAAGCTGCGTGGCAAATCATCAAATTTTTTTTATAAAGAAAGAAAACAAGAGTGCACCATACATCATTTTATCCACCCTCAATGTTAAGGAAATCCCTGTGGTGAAGTGGTTGCCAAGCCCAGGCCCTGACAGCAGAGATGACACAGAGCACTTCAGGTTTCCACCTCCAGAGGGCTCTTCTGATCACTGTGGACAGGAGCTGAGGCACTGGCTTCAGCTGGCAAGATGACACATGAGTGCTCATCTCCCCAAGACCGAGGACGCCTCGGAAAGGACAGCGAGGGGTGCTGAGACTTGGGAGTTCTGAGGACAGTGCCCACAGAAACTGCTCACAGATTGAATGTGGAGAAAGAGAAAAGGCAAGTATGCCTGTGATCTGGAGGGGGAACATCAGGAGAAAAGGAAGGCCAGGTCAGGACTCAGTCTTACACACGCCTGTCTTGAGTTTACAGTTGAGAGGTTGACAGACATGGGGACATAGGAATCTAAAGCTCGGGTAGAGGTCTAGGCTGCAGTCAGCTCTGCAAGTCCTGGGATACAGCCGATAAAGTTGTGATGCTGAGTGAGTACACACAGACATATCGAGGGAGTAAGACGGAGAGAAGACGACAACCCAACTCTGGGGTCGCACTAAAGGGTGAGAAGAAGAAAAGGAACCAGCTAAGGAGTCAGGAAGAAAGTGCTCAGTGAGGTGGTCAGAGAACCAGGTGGGAGACGTGGTCCAGAAGCCAAGAAAGAAATAAAACAAAGGAGAGGAAGAGTGACAACTGTCCAATGCCAGGGCAGGCACAGGGAGTGCCACAGCCACCGAGCTAGGAGGCAACCGGAGTCTTTCAGCTGCTTAGTGCTCATTAGCCTGAGAGTGATGATCTGGTTCACACCTGTTCCATCACAGCACTCAGGAGGACAGTTTTACATAAACATTTGTCTCCAGTCTGAGTAGAGGCAGCCTCTGAAGTGTGGCCAACATGTTTTCCTCTCACCACGGTACACTCCAGCCCTGCATGAGATCCCCTAACAGCGGGAGACAAGAGAAAGTGCTGGGCCAGCTTTGCGTAAGCTCCACTCGTTCCAGCCTGAGTGAGCAGAGGCAGTGTAACCATTTGAGTCCTAGTTTTTCCATAGCCATAGAGCTGAAATGTGGTAAAATTCATGGCAAGCTACCAAGGACAACATTTGGAAAACAGTATTTGCTCAATAAGTGTTTCCTTCTTCCTCTTTTCTTCTGCTACTAGAGACATAGTACCTTGTTTTATTGCATTTGCTAATACTGCATTTTCATCAACATCAAAAAATCATTCAACCAGCAAACAGATTAGGACTTGCCAAATGCTCAGGTGATAGTTTTTTTTAGTAATAAAATCTTTTTATTAATAAATGTATATATACTCTTTTAATAGACATAATGCTACTGCACATTGAACAGGCTACAGTAAATCCTCACTTAATGTTGTCGGTAGGTTTTACAACCTAAAGTTAAATGACATAACATAACCAATTTTACCATAGGGCGATTAATATACAGAAGAGTTACTAGTGAGTTCCTACAGAATCTCATCATTATAATGGAACAATGCTGAACAAACGATATATAGTAGGATGTGCTGTATAGTGTACACATAACTTTCATATGCACTTGCACACTCACATGTGTGACTCTATTGTGCTTTTCACTTCATAGTGGTGGTTTGACACCCAACCCATAATATCTCCAAGGTATGCCTGTATAAGTCACCACATAAAAAGCCAGGCTTGAGGGAGGCAGACATGTGGCCAAGTTGGTGTTCACCTACCTTCTTCCTCAGGTTTCAAAGATATGTAACTGCACTTAAGCTTCCTTCCCAGGGCTACAGAAGCCTCAGCAAAAGAAATGAAGATTCTAACGTGAATGACATAAGCAGACACAGCAAGTAAATCTTAACTAGCTCTCACCTCAGATACTTACTCGGGGAAAACAGTTTCTCTCCTCCTTAGCCACCAAGCCCCTAAAACTTCCCCGTGTAGTCATGCCATTACTGGTCACTCTACTCCATTCAACTCTGCTGGAAGAGGCAGGAGTCCCTGGAGTCATCTCCCTGCTTCACACCAAGGTTAAAAAAATCTGACCCATTGCTTACCTTCTCGATGTCTACAAGTTCAGTCTCATAAATCTCAGCAATAGTGATGTGGTGTTTGGCTGCGATTGTAAACCTTCCCTGGGGGAAAACAAAATATAGAGGAGCTACATTCCTGTTTTACCTATTTTAATGCCACCAGTTTAGGAACGAGATAAAAAAAAATACAACTCTAAGCCATGTCAAGGAGTCCACCCCACAGTTACTCAAGCAAGGTAACGTCTTACCATGTCTGTGTAAATGTCGATGGCTGCATTTAAGCAGTTGATAGCCTCTGAAGCGTAGGCATTTAAGAAAAACAATGAAAAATCCATTCAGTCAAAGAGGGTTCAACTGAGCCTATTTTCCTAGCTGCTACTAGAACATTAAGGAGGTCCATTTGGGGCCGAAGGTGGGCATATTAGTTAAAGAGAAACAAACATGAATCACACACAAGTCCAGGCCCCCTCAGCATACTCCAGGTGGAGCTAGAGAGGTTCTGGCTTGGTTGGTCTAAATCTACGAGTGGGGACTCCATCCAGGGAGAGATTGCATTATAAAGCAAAAAATGCGACTGTCATCAACACCACACAAATGTAAATGTATTTTTCAATGACATTATATATACATATTAATTTTGGAAGGAAGTTCTCTATAAGAAAGATACTTCAATAGGCTACTCTTCATGCAGCCAAAATAAAAAGCACTTTGAAGTCCCTGTTCAGAGAATTCTTAAGTAAAGTCAACATTTTGTACAATATTAAAGATATTAACGTTTGGTCTACTAACATACACACAAAGAAACAAAAAAATCTAGTAAGTGACAGTGTTAATAAAGTATATTCTTTTCCCAAAAGTTAGGCTGTGTTCAGAACCAACACACCATCACAAAATGATGGCATTTATAATTCTGGCACTGTCCGACAGCTCCACATTTATTGCTTCTAAAAAAGAAGTGGCAGAGTAAAAAAGCCTACCTAAAAAAAATCAGAAAGTAGATGGAAAGAAGTTAAAAGCTATTTCCTCCTAAACTATGTAAGAAATGTGAATTCATTGTCATTCCTTTAAAACTACAGAAAAATATAGAGAAAAATAAGCTATCTATAATCCCACTCAAACCCACTCTTCATTTCCAGTATTTTCTAAATGCATTTCTATGTGCACAGACTTTATTGTGAATTTGAGATCTCAATTCTCATGTGGTTTTTCAGTTACCATGTAAATATTGACCAGGCCACTAAAAACTCTCTGAAATAAAGGATTGTAGTAACTGCATCATGTTCTACAATACTGTTATATTATAACTTTATCATTTCTTTTTTCTACTTTTAATATACATATTTGTATTGATTTCAGAGAAGAAGAGAGGGCGAGATGGAAATATTAAGATGAGAATCACTATTAGCTGCCTCTTGCATTCAGCCTACTAGGTATCGAGCCCACAACCCAGGCATGTGCCCTTGACCAAAATCAAACCCGGGACCTTTTAGTTCACTGGTTGTGGCTACCATTCTTATCTCATTGCTCATTAGGCTGTGTTCAGTTTTTCACTTTTGGGAAAAAACCATGGTCAATTTCTACACAAAAGCCCTTGAAAATATCTTATTTCCATATGATATAATCATAAAAGTTGGAATTTCTATGTTAAAATGGATTGCTAAAAGAAAAAGAGAAACCTCATGGCTACCAGTGCATGTGTGAGAGGGAAAAAATTAATACTTTTAATTATTAAATGTGAACTCTTCTAACTAAAAGAAATATAACATTTGCAAAATTTTACCATTTTAAATATCCAATTTCACTCTTTCCTTAAAACAAATACTTTGAAAAACACTTTAATCAGTCAGATGAATACTGTGTAAATAAGTTTATTTTAACCTGCAGATACTGCCCTGACAGGGTAGCTCTGTTCATTAGTGTTGCCCTGATATGCTAAGGTTGCAGGTTTGATCAGGGCACATATAAGAATCAACCAATCCTATCTAATAAAAGAGCAATATGCAAATTAACCATCACTCTGATACACCCACAAGCAAATCAGAGCAAGTATGCAAATTAACCCCAACCAAGATGGCTGCAGCCACAGAGAGCAGGAGGGAGGCTTGGGTTTCCCTGGCAATGAAGGAAGCCAAGCTTTCTGCACACCCTGGAGGGCCCAGGCCTCCACTCAAGGGTACAAAGTTTCAATTATAGAAGGTAAATAAATTTCAACAGAAATGGTGGCAGCCACTGAGCTGGAAGAGCAAGAGGCTAGGGTTGCCCCAGGTGATGGCCTAGGCCTCCACTCCAGGCTACAAAATTTCAATTATAGAAGGTAAATAAGTTCCAACAAAAATGGTGGCAGCCACGGAGCAAGCAGGAGGCTCAAGTCCGCTCCAGGCTACAAAGTTTCAATTGTAGAAGATAAATTCCAGATACCAGGGCCTACACTTGGGTCGGTGGGCAGGGGTGGTGTGGCTGGCCTGTAAACCACCACAGGCCCCTAACCCAGGCCTCGGCCTCCCCCCCCCCCCGCCCCTGCCCAAGAGGAACCCCACCCTGATCTGGGACACCCTTCAGAGCAAACCATCTGGCCCCCACCCATGCAAGAGGCATCTATCCTATCTAATATAAGAGTAATATGCAGATTGACCATCACTCCAACACACAAGATGGCTGCCCCAATATGGTCAAAGATCCTGCCATTTGGACACAAGATGGCCACCACAAGATAGCCAGCAGGAAGCGGGCAGCTGGGAGGGACAAGGCCTGCAAGGGATGGCAGTTGTGGGCAATCGGGCAAGCAGGGGAGGGCAGTTGGGAGGCACCAGGCCTGCAAGAGAGGGCAGTTGGGGGCAATCAACCCTGTAGAGGAGGGCAGTTAGGGGTAACCAGGCCAGCAGAGGAGGGAAGTTGGGGGCAAACAGGCTGGCAGGGGAGCAGTTAGACATCCATCAGGCTGGCATGGGAGTGGTTAGGGTGTGATCAGGCTGGTAGGCAGAAGCTGTTAGGGGCAATCAGGAAGGCAGGCAGACAAGCAGCTGAGAGCCAGCAGTCCTGGATTGTGAGAGGAATGTCCCAGATTGGAAAGGGTGCAGGCTGGGCTGAGGAACACCCCCCAACGCCCATGCATGAATTTTGTGCACTGGGTCTCTAGTGAATATATAAATAAGTGCAACAGCAAATTGATGTTTCTTTCTCTCTCAAAAACAAACAAACAAAAAAGCCCCAATATCTAATATTCTAATTTCCCATTAACTGGATCTTAAAATGTGCTAAGTATTTAAGAGTAAAAGAACATGGGCATTTCCTCTAGTAAACAATAATCATAAAATTAGGACATAATAAGTCTTAGATAAAATTAAAGCTAATTTCTAAAAAGTTCTCCAAAATGCAACATAAATGAAGTTTAAGAAAATGCTTGTTAAGCAACTAAACCACCAGGTTAAATTTAACATATCTTCTCTTCATTAAAGCTGCAAATGATTAAACAACAATTCTTAAATGTTATCAAAATCTCTATTATTCCAAAGTACAAAAGTTTATTTTTATCAGCGCTGTAAAGGTCCAGCAGTATAACCTGTGAAAAAGGTTACCAACTTCAGCCCTACCATCCTAAGAGCAGCGATTTTCAATCTTTTTCATCTCATGGTACACACGAACTAATTAGTAAAATTCTGTGGCACACCAGAAAATATAGTATATTTTTTGCTGATCTGACAAAAAAAAAAAGTATAATATTGATTCATTCACACCGGACAGCTATTGCTGCGTTGGCTATTGTCATTTTTAAAGTTTGACAATCTAAGGGAAAAGAGCACAGTGCCCATAACTAAATAGTCAAGTATTTCATGGCTTAATAAAAATTATTGTGGCTCACCCGTATGCCACGTCACACAGGTTGAAAATCGCTGTCCTAGACAGAGGTGTGTCTTACCGTGAGGGTCTGCCTTTTTGTAAGCATTCCCAGCATCCACAAAGCTGGTGGCAGAATCATGTTTGCTCTGAAGCTGCATATGGAGTTTGGCTGCCTGACAAAACGCATTTCCTGCAGCTGAGGAAGATAAATTAGTACAATTAAACAGAGAGGAACAAGTATCCCTACAGAAGAGCCCATGCCCTAAGTGCTAGAAAGTTCCATGCCACTGAAAGAAGTATTCCAGTCGGAAGCACATGGAAATGCAATCAATGCCTCTTGGGTAAATATAAAAATAGCCAGAATCAAGTCAAACAGGGAGAGAAGCTTCTCTCAGCCACAGAAGACCTCCCAAGTGGGCCCTAGGCTATCAGTTTCCATTCAATAGCAACAGCCTAGTACCAGGCCACCCAATGTTATCCCACAACGCATACTGAACACTGACTGGCAGGCTGAAGCTACTAATGTTTGAAGAAAGGTAAAACGCTGAGGTCATTTTCCATCTTACAGCGTCCCCTGGACTTAGTTGTAATTGTTGAAGAAATTGCTAATGAAGGCTTCATGGACAAAGAAAGTTTCTCAAAGAGTGACAATTCTTCCTTCAATTGTGGAATCCAAAGGTTTTTCTTACGTAAGTTCTGGTATAGGGAAGTAAGTACTAACAGGAACGGAGAGGAAAGGGTTTATTCTACCAGGAAAAGCGCAATTAAGAATATCACAAAACCTTTTGGTATAAAAAAACAACAACAACAAAAAACACAATTCAAAACCATACAGAACATAGAATCGGATACCTAAGTACCCACTGCTGGTATTTCTGGGCAAGATTGAAAGCGTGCCCATGAAGTATTTAACCATCAGCATGGAAGAGAGAACCCTGCCCACCAGGCTTTAATGCTTCCTGGATGAATCATGAGGGACTCCCAGAGGAGGGGCCAATGCCACTGCAAGGTTGTGGGTAGGCCCCTGAAGTACCTGGGCAGCAGCTAACTTCTAAGTGACAGTTCAGGAACATTTCAGCTAGATATAAGCTTTGATGGGCTCTGCCTCAGAAGAGTGTAGTCAGAACGTGGATTGCTGTCTTTAAAAGGATTGACCAGGGAAGACCTCACTGAGAAAACAATATTTGAAGGAGATAAAGAGAATCGGCTACACTCTATTTTGAGGAAAGAGTGCCAGAAAGGGCTTTGAGGAGGGAGTCGGATGAATGAGGGGAGTGGGTAGGAGATGAGGTATGAGACAGGAAGAGTCAGGGATCAGAGATCAGGTAGGTCCTAGAAGGCCACTGTTAAGGACTTTAGCTCTTATTTGACATAAGCTGACATGTTTGAACTTTTATGACGTGGGTCATAAAAACAGACTAGAAAAAAATGCAGAAGCTGAGAGATCAGAGTAGGCAAGAGATGATGAGGAGGGTAAATACAAAGCCTCTTTAGATGTATTAACGTTAATAGCCTCTCTAAAATGGAATTTCCTTAGGTTTATCTGATCACCAGATAAAATAAGTGGCCTTTTTTTAGATAAGAGCACTCTTTCTTTACTATTATTTCAGACCAAGGAACAAAATAAAAGATGTAAATGCTAAGATAATATTCTCTTCTCTTTTTTTTTTTTCAGTACTTTAAAATTCAGGCATAAGTGTATTTTGAAAATACATAACATGGCCTTTTTATCTAGAACTAAACCTACAAAAAAAAATCTTGTAAAGCCAGAAAAAGACCTTTCAGATTCATCTAGTTTAACAGCATTTTTTTCATTGAAATGATTTTTAAAAGCAAATGGGCAAATCAGCCTTAAACTTACAGAAAATTCTGTGTCAATTATCTATAATAATCTGTTCTAATAAAAGCATAATATGCTAATTAGATCAGACAGCTGGAAGACCTTCCGGATACAGCCAGAGCTGTGAGAATCAAGGCAAGCCTCTGTCGCTGCAAGGGCGGAGCCCCTTGCACGAATTCGTGCACCAGGCCTCTGATATCTTAATAAAGCTGAGGGTGGAAGGAATAGGAAATGGGGAAATGAACTCGTAGAGGGCAAGGATCCCAATGTAGGCCAGGGTGCAGAGAGCATATCCTTGTTCTGGTTGAAGGCCATCTTCAGTTCACTAAAGAAACGCCCTACCAGGACAAGCCCCTTTTTCTAGGGACAGGGATAACTTTGTTTCTCAAGCAGTGTTAGAAAGAAACACCCCCTCTCAGACCAATGGAAATAATAACTGTTGATTTTGTTAGGTGTAATTTCACTGGGTAGAAAGCATGACTTTAAAACATGACAATAAGTCTGTTGGGGAATACATAAAGAACGCTCCTATTGTCACATTTCTCAGTGGAACCACAATCAATTATCACAGAGTTGTTCTCAGAGCAAGAAATAGAAGTTCTCTACTAATGTTTTTGAAAAGAAAAGTAGGCATTTTTATTTATCTGATTTGTTTTCTTTCTTTCTTTTTTTTTTTTTTTTAAAAAAATACATTTTATTGATTTTTTACAGAGAGGAAGGGAGAGGGATAGAGAGCCAGAAACATCGATGAGAGGAACATTGACTAGCTGCCCCCCACTCACTCCCCACTGGTTTCATTGAGTTTTACTACAACTTTCAACCTTTATGGCAATAGATTTATTTGAGTATATTAGTAAGAAGAAAAAATTACAGTTTGATCCTCAGTCAGGGCGTATTTGAGAGGCAACCAATCTATGTATCTCTCATATTGATGTTTCTCTGTCTCTCCCTTCCTTCCTCTCTAAAGTAAAAAAAAAAAAAAATAAAATAAAATAAATACTAATACTGGAGGAGTGGTTTATAGAAACTAAAACAGACCCAGTCCTTACGTTTAAATTTTATATCAGGATTTCAACTTGATTCACTAAATCAAGGTCCTTTAATCCCAGTTCATGGTGGCTGCAGCAGTGATTCAGCACTGACACCTGGCTTGAGGCCAACAGTCTTATTCTCTAAGGGGACAGAAGTCATTTCCTCCTTCAAAATGACTTTAAAAGTATCTGCCTCAAAAGCAAGCAAACAAAAACTGTATACATACCACTCCAATTTTTAGCCATCTTGAACATATTTGCAGCTCTGGTATACATTTCACAAGCCTCTTCTATTCTTGTGTTTCCTCTGAGAAAAATTTTTTAAAAAAAGAGAGAGATTAAGTTTTTCTATAATAACCATCCATATCCCTAATGCTCAAATAATAATTATTTAATGAGCACATACTATGTACCAGCAGTATAGAATCCTAACAGCTACTTAAAGGGGATACTCTTATTCCTATTTTCCAGGTGAGGAAACTAAGGCAAACAAAAATAAAGTAGCTAGCCCAAGGTTACATAGCAAGGATGCCACAGAACTGAGACTCAAACACTGATCTGGCTGACCCCGGTTCTTCACCCTTAATCAGAGTCTCCATGCATGCAAACTAAAGTTTATATCGGTCTGAGAAATCAGAAGTACCTTTTTCAGAGGAGATTAAAATTGGAAGGATAAAGACATCTTTACCAAGTTAATTTCTAACAGTTTGGCACTATGTTTATTTAGGTTAAAAATAAAAACAAAGCCTGAATCAAGAGCGTATAAGAGTCGCACTGCTCTGTGGCTAATATTACCTGTCAGCTGTGGCACGGAGCAAGCCCTTCCCCAGTGTGGAAGGAGCCTTTGGGTCCTGCCACTCACTGGTGTGGAAATGCGTTTTCTAATATCCTTAGAGGAGGGAACTCCACTGCTGCTTTCAGAACATTTCGTTCTAGAAAGTTCTTCACCTCATTACAGCTTCATTACATTGAGGAACAGTTTTAGCTGCTTAGAAATTTCTTCTCACATAAAGACCAAAATAATACTCTATAACTTCCACCAATTTTCAAAATCAACCAAATTAACCTTGTTTTCACTAAGCGCAGGCCCCTCAATTAAAGATGTTCCTCTATCTTATCTATGTTATAAACACAGAATAAAACCATGACACAGCAGACTGCAACTGTGCAGTACACATGATGAGTAACTGAGAATGAAGTATGGACATAAGCACTAATAGCTCTAGCCAATTTGGCTTAGTGGATAGAGTGTTGGCCTGCGGAATTGAGTCCCATGCTCAATTCCAGTCAAGGGCACCTGCCCAGGTTGTGGGCTCAATCCTCAGTAGGGGGTGTGCAGGAGGCAATCAATCAATGATTCTCTCTCATCATTGATATTTCTCTTTCTCCCTCTCCCTTCCTCTCTGAAATCAATAAAAATATATTTTTTAAAAAGACTGAGAGACAAGAAAGGTCAGGGCTGACCACAGTGAGCATGATATGAGCATGAATGAGGGCCTCTGCATATGCCAGGAACTCCAACAAGCTTCAAACTCCAGCTTACTGGTATGCAGTTCACTGCAGTTTGACTGGTAGGCCCAGGTATGAATTATACCTTAGACAACAGTAACTACTAACCATCTGACTCTAGGCTAGTTCTTTAATTCTTAGAGCCTCTATTTTTGCATATGTAAACTGAGGATACTATTATCTATACCTCTGAGTTATTATGAGGATCAAAAGAACCCATAATAATTGCCATTGCAGGACTTGACCCAGAGTATGTACTCAATTAATACCATTATTATAATTGGATTTATGTACTGAAGGCATAAAATCCTTTAGGGATGTTTGTGCATCATCTGTACTAATAAAAGGGTAATATGCTAATTAGACAGGACATCTTCCAGACATCCTTCCGGATGTTCTTCCGTACAAAGCCACGGTGGCGGGGGCTGAGGCAGAGGCGGTTAGGGGCAGTCAGGCAGGTAGGCAGAGTGATTAGGGGTGATCAGGCAGGCGAGCGAATGGTTTAATTAAAATATACTTCATCCTATTTAGGGGTGATGAGGCAGGCAGTCAGAGTAGTTAAGTTAGGGATGATGGGGCAGGCAGATGAGTGGTTGGGGCAATGAGGCAGGCAGGCAGAGGCAGTTAGGGGTGATGAGTCAGACAGGCAGAGGTGGTTAGGGGCAATGAGGCAGGCAGGTGAGCAGTTAGGGGTGATCAGGCAGGCAAAGTGGGTAGGAGCCAGTGGTCCTAGATTTCGAGAGGGATGTCCAATTGCCGGTTTAGTCCTGCGGGACTGAGCCTAAACCAGCAGTCGGACATCCTCTGAAGGGTCCCAGATTGCGCAAGGGTGCAGGCTGGGCTGAGAGACCCTCCACCCCCCATGCACAAATTTCATGCACCTCTAGTTATTCATAATATTTTACAAGTAGAAACAACCAAAATGTCCATCAACTTATAAATGAATAAATAAAATGTGGTATACACATACAGACATATAATTAGACAAAAGGAATTTAGTCCTGATACATGATATAATGTGGATGAACCGTGAAAGCATAATATATTAAGTGAAAGAAGCCAGTCACAGAAGAGCTCATATTGTACAATTCCACTTTTAAGGGAATTGTTTTAAGGACAAATATTCAGAGTTCAAAATCAAATAATGCAACTGACTGTTATCCAGAGACCACATAGTGAGGTAGAAGAGTCTAGAAAACAGAAACAAGTTTCTGTGAGGGAACCTACATTATAAAGTGGATATAATGTGTATAATGATACTAAATTGACATTAAGAAAGCTAAATTGGGCCAAATTGGCTATTTTTTGGTATTATGGTATCTTAACCTTGAAGAAGAAAACACTTTACCACCACGAAGAAAACAGTGACCAGCCTGAGCAAGAACCACCAGCACCAACCCCACCACCAAGCAGACAGCGGACTTTCCCCTTCCCTCCAATTCCTGGGGCAAGGCAGACCTCCCTCCTCTTTCTGACCATGCTTATTCAGGAATTATTCATTGAGATCAGTGGGTGCTAGCAAACACAGCAAATAACATTCCTGCCCTTAATGCTAAGGAGAGAACATTAAACTTCAGGTTAGAAAAAATAAGAGTGTTCAACCCCCACCCGTGTTACGCTGAGGAAGCTTGGTCACAGCCATATGTTCCACCGACACAGCGAGGAGGGAGCTGTGTCTTGAGTCCTTGAAGGCAGCCTGGGAGTCCCTGCCTCTTCACTGTGCCATCCTGTTCCTTCCCATTTAGAGAACTGGCAGGGAATCGGCTCAGGAAAATTACAGGCCCATTATTTCAGAGAGCTCAGATGGTATCTACACCGCAGATAAGTCATTTGTGTATTTGCTTTTCACTTTTATTGACTTCAGAGAGGAAGGAGAGGGAGAGAGACAGAAACAACAATAAGAGAGAATCACTGATTGGCTGCTTCTTGCATGTCTCCCACTGGGGATCGATCCTGCAACCCCAGGCACATGCCCTAGATGAAGAATCCAACCCAGGACCTTTCAGTCTGTAGGCCAATACTCAAACCAGCTAGGGCAAGTTATTTGTGCTTTAAAAACCAATTGATCATCAAATATCCTGAAGTCCTGTTTTTGCCATGTGAAACTAAATAAAGAAAACCTCGTTTAAAATGGAGCTGGAAAGCCCTGAAGGAGGAATATCTTCCCCACCCACGCACTGGGGGAGCCGGGCCCGGGGCGATCGCCTGTGGAGCAGGTAAGGGGAGGGCCCCAGACCAAGGCGGGGTGCCAGGCAGGGCTGCGGGGCTGTGAGGCTAGGGGCGTGAGCTGGAGCTGTGAGGCTGAGGGCTTGAGCCAGAGCCCGATCTCTGCAGGCCACCTGGAGGGACCCCACCCATGCATGGTTTGTGCACCGGGCCTCTAGCTAGAAATAAAAAAATTAGAAATAAAACATTTAAAAACAGAACCCATTAGCCCATTAAGAGAAATACATTATAACCTAGAGGGTTTATTCAAGGACTACAAGGACAGTTCATTATGAGGAAATCCACGAAGTAATATATTAATAACAAAAGAGAAAAATCATGTTTTCCTCCACAGATACTGAAAAGGCCTCAAAAATGTAACTTCATTCAATACCTAATAAAAACATTCGTTAAGACAGGAATTGACAGATACTTCCTTACCATGAAAAAATATATACTTCAACCAAGAAAAGTAGTGATATATTAGATTTTAATTAAATACCGTTCTTACAATAAACTCTATTTAAATACAGAAGTAGCTAACATTCAGAAATTCTCTAAGTTCCTTACTGTGAACTCTGTCAGTCACTGAAAAAAATTTTGAAGGTATAGTTACTGATTTTATAATTATAAATTATAATTACTGATTTGATAATCTAATTAAATAATCACAAATTAAAAGCATAAAAAGATTATAAGCTCTTATATAAGTAGGATAATCCTCTATCTTGGTTGTATGAACACCCTTGATTTATATCTATTTTCGTGATACCTCAAAAATATCACAGTTTGGCCAAGGCTGTGGTTTCAATACTTGACCAGGGCACATGCAAGAAGCAACAAATGGAACAACAAATCTATATCTGTCTGTCTCACTTCCTCTCTCTCTCTCAAATCAATCCATCAATCAATCCTAGTTTGGATAATACGTTTATGACCACGCTATAACCCATAGAAATAGGGAAATAAATATATATATATATATTTTAATCCTTACCAGATCTTATTTTCCATTGATTTTCAGAGAGAGGGAAAGACAGAGAGAAATATCAATGTGCGACAAACACATTGACTGGTTGCTTCTTGCATGTGCCTGACCAGGTCCTAGGCAGAGGAGGAGCCTGCAACCAACGTATGTATCCATGACCTGAATCGAACCTGGGACCCTCTGGTCCACAGGCCAAAGCTCTATCCACTCAGCCAAGCTGACTAGGGTGGGAAATCACAAGTCTAGATACTTGGATAAGGGCTCCATCTAGACACCAATATGAGTGGGACCTCCACCCCTTAGCCTATATAATAAAACCCTAATATGCAAATCGACCAAACGATGGAACAAACAGTCACTCAACCCAGGAGCTGCCCCCTGGTGGTCAGTGTGCTCTCACAGGGGGAGCACCACTCGGCAGAAGTCGGGCTCATGGCTGGCGAGTTCAGTGGCAGGAGCCTCTCCCGCCTCTGAGGCAGCGCTAGGAGCAATGAGTCGAGTGGTAAGGAGCAGCAAGCAGGCAGGCGGTAAAAAGGACTACGAGAGATCCTGGACTGCGAGAGGGCGTAGGCCAGGCTGAAGGAAACTACTCCCCCTCCCCATGCACAAATTTCATGCACCAGGCCTTCAGTGGGCTATAAAAGCTCAGAGCTCTAACCACCCAGTCCTCGAGCTTGGTACCGTGGGTCATGCTCGGAGCTCTGCCAGACTTCCACTCCACTGGACATGTGCCACCGCTGTAGCCACCTGGCTTGAGAATGACACCCGCCTCTCCACCTGTGATGCTGCCAGTGACTGGGACTTGATGCCAGATGCTTGCTCCGCTCACTTCTGTTGCATAAGCTCCCACTCTCTGTCTCCGTTATGTGTGTGATTCTATTGGCTTTTTAGGGAGGTCTCCCCTAATTAACCAACCAGTGATTCCTTTTCCCTGCTCCCTTATTCACCACAGTGAGGTATGCCGCAGTAATAAAATAAGACAGTCTCCCTAGGGGCTTATATTCTAGAGCCACACACACAACCACTGGGTTATCCCTATTTTTTATAAACAAGTAATAAAAGCATAATGTGCTAATTAGACTGGACAGATGAACGACCTCCCAAATGTCCTTTTGGATGACCTTCCGGACAAAGCCAGGGCTGCGAGGGCTGAGCTTCTTGCACAAATTTCATGCATCGGGCCTCTAGCGAGAGAATAAATGGTGAACACTGCAAAAATGCAAACAGAAAAAAGGCCAATCTGATGTGCACTCTGCAGTCTATCCCCAATCTGGTCTCCTTGTAACAAGATGGAGAAAAATGAGAGGCCTTAGCCATTCAAAACTATTTTACTGACAAACCCAGGTTAAACGAAGCAGTTCATTTAGAGATCATTGTAAGCCAGGGTGGGGAACCTTTTTTCTGCCAAAGGCCACTTGGATATTAATAACATCATTTTCGGGCCATACAAAAGTATCAACTTAAAAATTAGCCTGCTATATTTGGTCAAACATTTAATTAACTCAACCATAATGCCCTGGTAGGGCTAGACCAAGTGATTTCACAGCCCGAGGGCCAGATGTTCCCTACCCCTGTTCTAAGCAGTTCATAAGATTCTAAATTGGAATTTAAAAATCAAGTACCAAATTCAATAGCTCACCCCTGGAAACAGATAAAATGAAAACACTCCTCTTTTGCGGGCAGTTTTGCTATACTATGGTAACCCATTCAGAAAGAGTTTTAATTTAATTCCACAACTACAAAACACATCACTGCTGAACTGGCAGTCAAGAAGAAACACAAAACACCACTCACTAACTGGTTTCTTGTGAAGGCTGTATCTCCTTGGCATCTCTTTTTCTATGGGAGGGATATGGGAAAGGAACACTGCCATTTCTAAAACAAGCATGGCACTTGTGCCTTGCACACAAATAATACATGACTGATTTTTTTCTTGGGAATATACAATGCATATTTTCATTTAATTTTACTGAAAGCCACAAAAAGGAAGAGCTGTAGAATAGTTCTGAGGACACAGTATGGCCACAAATATGGGTGGTGGATAAACAATGCGTGAAGATGAACTCCTAATAAAGTTTTCATGTGTAGTTAAGACTCAGTGCACGATGTAAAATATCTGCCAAACGCTGAGCACATTTTAATGGCTGCCACATCCTCAAAACAGCATCACTTGTCCCCTTTAAAGCACGGGCTGGGCTCTAGCCAGGTTTCTTAGTTGTTAGAGCGTGGGCCAGTGGACTCAAGGGTCTTTGGTTCGATTCAGGCAAAGGCATAATCCCAGTTCCTGTCCGGCTGCAACCGATCATCTCTCTCTCTCTCTCTTTCTCTCTCTCTCCTCCCCACCCCTACCCCGCGCTTCCACTCTCTAAAAATCAATGGAAAAATATTAACAACAACAAAAACAAAAATTGATGATTACCAGACAAGGAAAAAGAGATGTTTCTTTCAAGACAAAAAAGTCTTAAAAAAAAAAAAAAAAAAAAAAAAAAAAAAAGGCTTTTCAAAATCCTTTTAGGATTAATGACAAGATTTGGCCTAGTTTCACAAAAACAATAACGCAGCACCTCTTTAAAAAGTGTAATGTGTTCCCCGAAACAAGCATCAAGTGCTGTCATGCTTTTTTTTCTCCTGCCAATTACAAATTCTCTTCCAGGAAAGGACATCCTGGCTTGAAATATGCTGTGGCATTAAAACATCTCCTGACATGAGACACCAGGACATACATTTTATCTAAATAAATTTTTCAACGTTTTCTGAATCAGAGAAAGGCGCTACTGTCTGGTGTGAGCACCAAGTGTTGGGCAGGGTTCCTAATGCATTTGTGGTCACTTTTAAAGGGGAACAAACTTAAAATTCATTATATTTCAAACTACACATTACATGAGGAATTTTGAACCTGGCTGGGATACATGCCCTCAGAAAGGAAAGGTTCTTGAGGACAGGAAGCTTCATCTTTCTGTATCTCTGCAGCCCACACTGCTGTGCACTGCGTGGAGCCTGCATTTAAACAGTTCCTGGGGATGTGTCAACCATGGTCAAGTGCTATAACCTGAAGAATGAAGCTGGTAAAACAAGTAGATTCCAAACTGAACTTGTACTGCGTCTAATAATGCAATTGAGTATGGGCCGCTTGCCCTTCTCAAGAATAAAAAATATGCTCCTGGTGTCAGCAGAGGATCTTCACTTTTTCAAAAGGGAAAAAAACAACAAAACCCGCGATAGCTCTGCCTCTCTAATTCTAAACAGCTGAATCATTCACATATTCAACTGCCCGTAATCCTTCCAAGAACTGTCAATGCAGGCTTTGCTTTCTGGAAAGCCCGAATTTAAAACCATGGAAGAATTACAGGAAATGAAAGTGACTCCCAAACGACCGCTAACTTAAACAGGTACTGTGTTATCCTAAATCAAACACGAGGCCCTGGCAATTACATCGATCTCTGGTGAAGAAAAAAATATATATATTATGCCGAGAAAATATTCGTCCATGCAACGAGTATTTATTTATCAAATGTCTACTTGGCGCAATGAAAACGGGCACCGAGAAGCTGGGAGAGAGGTGCTGGGGGCCGTCTGCCCCATCGCGGGGCGCATCTCCATCCAGGCGCTCCCCAGATGCGCTCCCCAGGGGTCCAAGGTGCAGCCCCTCGGGCTCCCCGGCGCCCCCTCGCGCCGACGCCACACAGGTCTTCCCAGCTACGCGGATTCAGCAGAGGCGACAGGAATTAATCCGCCCAGCCACTGCGGTGACGGCCAACGCACACCCCGGCTGCCGCGGACCCGCAAGGCCGTGGGATCCTCGCACCAACGTGCCGGAGGGGACATAGCGGGGCATGGGAGTAGGGTCGGTGGGCCCTGGAGAATCTCTAGAGAATCTCGGGAGGGTGCGCTGGGGCTGGAGGCCCCTGGGGGTAAGGATTCTAGAGGCCGGGTTGTGCAGAGGTGTAGGGGCCCTAGAGGCTCCCAGAGGGACGCGTTGGGAGGCAGTGGACCGGGGATGGGCCTGGGATGGAGACCCCCCTCAGGACGCGCGCGGCCAGACGCTCACCCAAACAGCCCCCGGAGGAAGGAGTGGGAGGCCTTAAGTCGCTTTTCGGCATCCGCCATCAGCTGGACTGCCTCGCGCTCCTTCCCTGCGTTGTCCATACTTCCCAGCGCCGCCGCCACAGCCTCCTCTGCCGGCTGGGTGCGCCTACCACGCCTTCGATCCCTTCTTGCGAGGCGGCGAGCGCAGGCGTGGTGAGCGCAGGCGAGGTGCGCACAGCCTGCTGGGACTTGTAGTCCGGGACCCACCCTGGAGGTGGGAGCGCAGGCGCAGCGCGTCGGTAGTTTCTGCAGGGGTCAAGGACAGTTCCCAGCGGGGTGCAGAACAGGCCAGGATGGGGTCGGATCTCCCTGACCGCTGGCGCTGGCAGTGGGTTCCTAGGCCAAGGTGAACTTTAATCCTTAAAGTATGCGGGAAATGGAAAATGACCCCTGGCTTCCAGAAAGATCACCTTAAATACTCTGCATTATTTTGGTTCAGGAATTCCTGCTCAGCACAACTGACACCTGGCCAGAGGGTGGATGAGATACCTGGATCACAGAATGGAATGCTCAACCTACAGTCTAGTTTTGCAAAAGGAAATCCAGAGCAGCCACACACAAAAATAACTTCATTAATTGTGCGATGTCCATTTACCTACTCACCCACCCAATAACAGCTGGCAGAAAGAGCCATTTTTACCTCAAGAGCAAGACATTTAAGAATGAATCATTTTTCCCAATACAAGTTTAGAGTTATTTTTCAGTCTCTCCATATGTGGTCCTCTCTTGCTTGATTGTAATTGAGTCACAATAAATACATAATTTACTATTTTTATTGACTGACTTTTTTTCCCAATGGATGTAAGCTATTGAGCTCTCTTTATCCTTTACATAATGTTTTCCATTGGCAGTGGATCTCCTGGCACACATTTTCTGATTTCCAGGAAAAATTCTAATCTCCTAGGAGAAATATCTATAGATAGATGCCATTGTCTGCCAAAGATTTAAAGGACTGTTCCAGAGGTAGTTTTTTTTGTTTTGTTTGTTTGTGTGTGTGTGTGTGTGTGTGTGTGTGTGTGTGTGTTGTTTTTAAATACAAAGCCTAGTCTAGGTTGTTTACATTTGGCAATGCTAAAGCAGAAGTGGCTAGGCAAATATAAAGATCGCTGCCAAATGAGAGCTTGTGACAATTTCAAACTATTTATCAGTACACTGTGGTCAGTGCCACACAATATATATCTCAGACAATGCAGTCTGCTTTTCGAGAGCAAGGCAAGAAGGCAAGATAACTAAAGCAAACATCCAAAAGTTTATGCATTGCAATGTTATCTGCAGGGAGCTCTCTGTGTACCTACTACCAGTTGCTGGGGGGAGAGGAGGAGTGAGCTTCTTGTGATATCATGAGAAAGGGAATTTTTTGAGACTAATACGGGAGGATGAGATATTACAGAAAGTTTTATTTCTGTAGAATTAAGTCCCTGAGTTTTCCAGGTTCCATTTCCCTTGGTCCCACCAAGGAAGAAGTCCAGCTTTGCCTTTAATCCCAGGGCTGGGATTAAAGCCATTGCCCAGAGTTTCCATCCCATGTTGGGGCAAGTCTAATCCAGCAGGCTAGTTTAGTGTGTGTTCCCCGCTGTAGTCATCAGTCCATTGCATGTGGGGTCTGCAAGTCCATCTGCCATGGGGCCTCTGGGGCCACATGGCTATGGAGGAACATGGGCACATGTAAAAGAGTAACAAGAGAGTGAGAATTCCTTTGTCTTGGAATTATATATCCCCAAATTTTCACAGGCTTGCAGTCTTGCCAGTCCTTCTAGCAAACGATTTCTGTTGCCAAGTTTGACTGACAGGCACCTTCCCTATGTCACCCTGACTTTATTGCACATGTGTCCCCCTCCCCTAGTGATCTTTGGGAAGTAGTCCAGTGACTCCCTGGAGGGGGTCTAAAGTTTCAGCTTCCTGGTGAAGATGCCCAGATGGCTGTGTGTATAATGCCTGCTCTACCCTTTTGCTCCTTTCCTATTATTAATAATTAGTTTATTACAACTATATCAACTGGACTCCAAAAATAGAAGGACATCTCAGATCTTCAAGTAGAGTTTATTTACTATTACAACATGCATTATTCCACCTTATGTACTTTGGGGGCAGGAAATTGGAGTGTGTGGCAGTAAATGCAGGAGTAAAGAGGAAAACTGAAAAGAACAAAAAAGAATGTAAGCACTTGAAAGACAGAGCAGTCTATGAGTGAGGCAGGATAGTAAGAAGCTAGGAAAATTCTTTGATACGTGGGATAGGGAAACTAAGAGAGGTACATGGCCAACAGCTTACAGCCAGCTAGTTACTCACAAAACCCTACCTTCCATAACCAAGGGCACAAGAGTAAACGGTTTATACTTCACCTTCCTAACCAGAGGGTAAATAGCTTAAGTCATCCTAATCAAAGAGATACATATTGGGAGTCCAATTAGCACCATTTGCCAACCACAAATAAGGAGAGATGAAATTATGGGAATAAATCTCATTTTGGGGTCTCAGCATAAAATTGGTGAATATTGTATGAGATCTTCCCCCGAGACCTCCCCTACACCCCCAGTCTTTAAAACCTTCAAGGCAAAGGACCCAGGCAAAGCTCTCCCTCCCAGGAGCATGCCCACACCTTTCCATTTCCCCTCTTCTCCCTCCCTCCCTTCCCCCCAAGGCATGCATCTCCTAAGGTACCCCAGGCGACTAGCAACCAGAGGAGCAATGGGCAGTGGCAGCTCACCCCTGGCTAACCCCTTGAACTTGTCTCCAAAATGCCTTTTCTCTGACTTTCCAATGAGCTGACAGAAGCCTTACCTTGGCTCACTTCTTTCCTGTAACATTTCTAGAGAGCCGAAGCATCCCCGCCTCTCTCTCCTGTTGCTTCTCTCCTAGGCTCTTTCTTTTCACTGTCCCCAGCTTCAATCAAAGTACTGTCTACATCACCTGTACTTATGCTGTGAAATCTCCTGCATGAAGTCTAGAACTCACACACTACGGCTGGCCAGAGAGGCATGCCTGTTCTGGATGGTCCCTGCCCAATAACATGGGGATTTAATGGAGCAATACCTCAAAAGCTCTGAAGTGCAGCATCAGTATGGTGATTAAAACAGTTCCCAAACTTGGCTCAATGTGGAAACTCTAAAGAATGACCAAGAAATTCTTGGATTCCCAAGTCACTAGCTTTTTGTATCAGGATTTCCTAGCGTTGGGGTCCAGGGAATGTGCATTGTAAGAACTCTCCACAACTATACTAAAACATACAATTCTAGATCCTCCCATCTAGTCAGCTGGAAAGGCAGTGGAATGGACTGCCTTCTCTAAATTAAAACTTGTGATTTAAGGGTTTCAGGCATATATATTGGAATTCCCTAATTCTCTCTCTCTCTCTCTCTCTCTCTCTCTCTCTCTCTCTCTCTCTCTCTCTCTCTCTCTCTCTCTCTCTCTCCCTATAGGAATTCCTACTATCCCCCAGTCCACACCCAGAGGCTAGGTGAGCAGAGGTGACAGGGCAGAGAGACAAACCTGAAAGAGTGAGGCCTGAGGAGAGGGACAGATGAGGGATCTGAAGGAGTTTGAGAAAACAGCAGAAGCAGGAAAGATACTCTGACCTCCCCATATTCTTCTCCTTTGAAAGGAAGAGACAAATGTCCCCTGTGTAAAGTGGTCTCTCAGTACCAGAAAGAAGGAAAACATCTTTATCACTAGAGGTGGGGAATTTAGCGCCATGAAGGTTTTAGAAACAAACTTTGAGACTTCTTTACTACTTATACCCCTCCCTCAAACTCCGTTGTCTTGTCAACTCTTTACAAATCCGTTTCTTTGTCTACAGGCATACAAGTTTTCTGTTCTGATCACTTCTTTGGGCTGCCATTTTCTTGCCAGGTCTCCCACATAAATGTAAAAATTCAATTAAATGTGTGTTTTTCTCTGATTACTCTGTCTTATACCAGTTTAATTCTTAGGCCAATCCAGAGACCCAAAGAGGGTCCAGGAAAAAGTATCCCCTTTTATAAGCAATACCCAAACGTTAGAAATCAACTTCCTTTTTTGAAAAATTTTATTTTTAATTTTTCAATTACAGATGGCATACATTAGATCCAGGTGTACAACATAGTTATTTTACATTTATGTCATGAATTAATCACCTCAGTGAGTCCAGTACTCAACTATACTATATATAGTTACTCTATGTATGTTATTGACTATATTCCCCATGCTGTACTTATGGCCCTGTGACTGTTTTATAACCAGCAATTTATACAATGTAATCCCTCCCCTTTTTGCCCTCACCCACCATGGCCCTTCCCACTTGGCAACCATCACAACTGCAGGATTACATTTGAATAAGCAAAGTTCACAATGGTTCCTCCTCACAAGGAGGTGGGCTTACCTCACAAAGCTCTGCTGGGGTCATACTAAGATAGCCCAAGCCAGTGCCAGGGCCTGCAGGCACAGTGAGATCCAGCAGGCAGAAATCAGTGGTGAGTAACTGGCAGGTGAGTACAGAGAACCCCTGGAGAAGGATAGGAAATAGTTGATAGCTGGGTGAGATAGTTGGAACCCAAAGTAGGTAAGTAGAATGTCCCTGACCCTGTTCCATGCCCCTGATTTCTTATATCCCAGTTCAAATATGTTCTCCATAAGCCTTTCCCTATTTCCATGAATGGTGTTCCTCTGTCCAATATACCAGGTTTTATCGAATAGCACTGTAGAAGTCTGTTTTGGGTTTTTTCTCCCATTGTAGGTGTAAAGGCAAGTGTAAACCCATCTCGGCAAGAGTTTAGACATTATATTGTCTGAAACACCAAAGAACCAAATGGGATGGGAAATGACCTGAATTGAGAGTAGGTTGGGCAACCACGCAGAGAGATTTCTCTGCCTGGTCCTTGTGTCCAGTTGTGGGCAGGGTGTTGAAAGAAAGAGGTCCAGGTCTCAGTCTCTGTTTAAATGCAGGCAGCTTCTCCGGGAAAGTCTGCGTTGGCAAGGGCTGTGGATGAGCAGTGAGCCAGTCTGAAGGCACAGTGGATAGCAGGTTTCTGAAGCTGCAGGCATGGGAGCTGAATGCTGGAGAAGCCTTCTGTTGTTGTTGGCTGCTCTGGTCCTGACAGCCAAATTGGATCGCTTTCAAAGGTGGGGGGGCTTCCAGGAGAAGTCCAAAAGCCAGAAAAACATGAATTCAACACTCAAATTCTTCATTGAAAACTACAACAATGTGAGCAATGACACCTACTTATTTCAAGTAGACAAGCTACTTCAAAGTTATATGCAGGTTTGTATATTGGTTTCTCTGAATGGGTACTCCCATTCTTGCCCATTTTTTTTTAACATTGAATTTATTGGGGTGACACTGGTAAACAATATGATACAGATTTCAGGTGCACAATTCTACAACACATCATCTGTATACCGTATTGTGTTTTCACTACCCCAAGTTAAGTCTCCATCCACCATCCCCACCCCCCCATACCTTCCTTCACCTCCTCTATTCCCCTCACCTCAGCAATCATCACACTGTTTTCCATCATTACTTTTTCCATCAATACTTTTTCTAAATATCTTTCCGATTTTTTGCGCTCTCTCCTCCTTCTGGCACTCCTATGATGCAAATGCTGGGTCCTTCTTTGTCTTTTGTTATAGCCTTTGTTTTATCTGTTTTCTATTTTGCTTAATCCTTCCACCCCCACCCGAACACCACCACCCTACCCCTCCCTGAGCTATCTGCCTACTCTCTATCTCGTCTCTATTTTGCTTGCTAGTACAGTTTGTTCATTAAATTCCACATATGAATGAAATCATGTTACTTGTTTTTCTCTGACTGGCTTATTTCATTTAGCATAATACCCTCTAGGTCTATCCCTGTTGTTACAGATGGCAAGATTTAATTCTTTTCTTATGGCTGAATCATATTCCATTGTATAGATCTTTATCTTTACCCATTCATCTATTTTTTTTCTTAATATATTTTTATTGATTTCAGAGAGGTAGGGAGAGGGAGAAAGATAGAAGCATCAATGATGAGAGAGAATCATTGATTGCATGCCCCCACTGGGAATCAAGCCCACAACCTGAGCATGTGCCCTGACCAGGAATAGATTCATGATCTCCTGGTTCATAGTTTGATGCTCAATCATGCTGGTTGGGCTATACATTCATGTTTGATGGACACTTAAGTTGCTTTTATATCTTAGTTACTGTAAATAATGCTGTAATAAAAATATGAATGTGTACATTCTTTGGTTTAGTGTTTGGGGTTCCTTTGAATAAATACACAGAAATAGAGATGTTGGGTCTTTCCTTCTCTTTTGTTATAGCCTTTCTTTTAAAGTCTAGGTTTTGGTATAAGTATTGCTACTCTGCATTTTTGTTTTGTGTGGTTTCCATTTTCATGAAATATATTTTTCCATCCCTTTACTTTCAGTCTGTGTGTGTCTTATTTATTTTATTTATTATTTATTATTTATTTATTTTTTTAGAGAAGAAGGGGGGGGAGAGAGAGAGAGAGAGAGAGAGAGAGAGAGAGAGAGAGAGAGAGAGAGAGAGAAACATTGATGAGAGGTCTCCTATATATGGCCTGATTGAGAATTGAACCTGCAACTTGGGTATGTGCCCTAATCAGGAATTGAACCCACCACCTTTCTGTGTACAGATGATGCTCCAACCAACTGAGCCACACTGACCAGGGTTGTGTGTGTCTTTTGATTTGAAATGAGTCCCTTACATACATACAGCATAAATAAGGGTCTTGTTTTGTAATCTATTCAATCACTGTATGTCTTTTGATTGGTGCACTTCATTCATTTGTATTTAACATAATTGTTGATAGATACATATTTAATGCCATTTTATTATTCATATTTTAATCTTTTTTTCTTTTTCTCCTCAAAGAAAACCCTATAAAATTTCTTGTAAAACTGCGTTTGTGGTAATAAACTCTTTTAGCTTTGTCTTGTCTGGGAAGCTCTTTATCTGTCCTTCAATTCCAAATGATAGCTTTGCTAGGTAGAGTAATTTTAATTGTAGGTCCTTGTTTTCCCCCACTTAGAATATTTTATGTCAATCTTTTCTGGCTACAAAGTTTCTGTTGAGAAATCAACTGAAAACTTATGGGAGTTCCTTTATAGGTAACTAACTGCTCTTCTCTTGCTGCCTTTAAGATTCTCTCTTTGTCTTTAACCTTTGGCATTTTATTAAGATGTGTCTTGGCCAAAGCCGGTTTGGCTCAGTGGTAGAGCGTCAGTCTGCGGACTGAAAGGTCCCGGGTTCGATTCCTATCAAGGGCATGTACATTGGTTGCGGGCACATCTCCAGTAGGGGTTGTGCAAGAGGCAGCTGGTCGATGTTTCTCTCTCATCAATGTTTCTAGCTCTCTATCTCTCTCCCTTCCTCTCTGTAAAAAATCAATAAAAATATATTTTTAAAAAAATGTGTCTTGGTGTGAGCTTCTTTAGGTTCATCTTGTCTGAACTCTGTGCTTCCTGGACTTCTATGTCTATTTCCTTTACCAGGTTAGGGAAGTTTTCCATCATTATTTTTTCTAAATAGCTTTTCAATTTCTTGCTCTCTCTTCTCCTTCTGGCATCCATATGATGCAAATGTTGGTATGCTTGAAGTTATCTCAGGAGCTTCTTACGCTATCTTCATTTCTTAGGTTCTTTTTTCTTTTTGCTGTTCTGATGGGGTGTTTTCTACTTCCTTATATTCCAAATTACTGATTTAATACTCTGCTTCATCTACTTTACTCTTGATTCCCTTTACTTTATTCTTCATTTTGTTTAGTGCATTCTTCATTTCTGCTAGTTCTTTTTTTATTATTATTTCCCTATCTTGTTTATGCTGTTGAAGTTCTCATTGAGTTTCCTGAGCATCCTTCTAAGCACTGTTTTGAACTGCATATCTGGTAAGTTTCAGTCCTCCACATCATTTAGTTCTTTTTCTGAAGATTTCTCTTATGCTTTCACTTGGGACCTGTTTCTCTATCTCCTCATATTGGCTGCTTCTCTGTGTTTATTTCTATATATTATATAAAGTTGCTAAGTCTCCTAGACTTGGTAGAATAGCTTAGTGTAGTAAGTGTCCTGCAGGGTCCAGGGGCACAGCCTCCCCAGTCATCCATGTTGGGTGCCTTAGGTGTGGCCCTTGTGAGGGCTGTAGGCACTGTCCTGTTGTAATTGAGCCTTGATTGATGTTGACACATCACTGGGAGGGATTGGCTGCAAAGACTGGTGACAACTACAATGGGGGTGTTGCTTGCTGACCCCATAAAGCAGGACTTTCTTCAGTGGGGCTTTGGTGCTTGCTGAGGCTGCACCCTTAGTGTGTCACTCATGAAGGTTGGTGCCTTGTAATATGGCATGTTATGAAACTGTCTACCATATGCACTGGCTCTGGAACCTCCTAGAAAGTGCAAGATCAGCTACCACTTATACCTTGCCTGGGTCCACCCAGCATGAGCTACAAAGTGATCTGCAGATGGTTGCTACTTTTCCTGGACTAGGAGTTGTCCAGAAAAAGCCAAACTGTGAACCAAGTCTGGCTGCCACTAATGCTGGCCTTGAAGCCACTTAGCATTATAAACAGGGTATGCAGAAGCCAGATACTGCTTGTTTGAAAGATTTTAGGAAAATCTGAAGCATGAGGTCATTTGTATGGAAAAACCACTGGAAACTGCTTGAATGGGCCTCAAAGTTGGGGAATTACCAGGGCAGAGTGAACAGTGTTAGCCAGATTGATGGAGACTTAGATATGGTGCCTGACTGACAGCTCTTTGGGCAAAAGGCTCAGCAAAGGAACAATATCTGCCAGCAATTCTGTCTGGGAGAAAGCTGCTCCTCTAGCTTTTGTAGTTAAGATGTCCCTCCTGATTTTTAACCAGCACATATGGTTATGGAACCAGTTCATTTCATGTCTCCACCCTTCCTACTAGTCTCAACATGGCTTCTTCTTTATATCCTTAGATATAGGACTTACGTGAAGCTAAATTTCAGGCATCCTGAATAATGGTTGTTCTATAATTTAGTTGTAATTTTTGATGTGGTCTTGGGAGGTTCCCAGTACCACATTTACCTACAGCACCATCTTGTCCAGACTGTTTTGTCTAACAGCCTCATTTGGCAAAAAATATGAAGTGTTCTCTGTAGGTTCCCCTCAACAATAGTATTTCAATGCCCAGGGCTATAAAATCTAAGCCTCGACTTTCTAAAGCTGTTTTCTATAGAAAATGAATTGTACAGAGGGGTGTTTTTTTGTTTGTTTTTTGTTGTTTTAGCAGGAGGAGACCAAGGGAGTGAGGGCTAGGCTTCAATCAGATCATCTCTTATTTTTTGTGTGTAAAATGTTTTGATACTATTGAAGGATGATAGAGGATAAAAAAAAAAAAAAAAAAAAGTCGTTTGAAAATCACTTTTGTTTGTCTAACTCTCCCCAACATCAGATAGTAATGTTAAAAACAAAAATTTTAACTTCCATGACTGAAAGTTTAAAAGTGTTAGCCAACAAGAAAATTGATCTTGAGGCATGAAGTCCAAATCCCCAGCAGATGGTTTGAAGGAAAAGGCACATATAATCCATTGACTTGGACTCTGCAAGCATTTTTATACATCAAGTGGGGGAAGGGGAAAGAAAAATTTACATTAGTTATAAGCAAAGTGGTGGGAGAAAGCGGGGCCAGTTCTGAAGTAGGTGCAGAGTCTGCAAAAGGAAATGCCCATTCCTGTTGATGGGCTGTGGGCAGCATTCTGGAAAGCCCACATGTGAACAATAAGTGGAGCCTCCTAGAGTTTGATAATTTCTGACTAAAAGACTCTGTAGAAACTGGAAATCAATTCAAAATTCCAACAAAAGAATGTGAGCAGTCTTTTGTTAGTTAACCTTCAGCCATTAACAGATGAACAGTTCTGTCTCTTTTCTCTCACCCTCTGACCTCTGTGATTTAATTTAGAACATCTCAGAATTTTCCCCTTGTCAGTAAAATATACAAATTGGATCAAAGGCAATACTACTTCTTAGTTCAATCATGTAGTATTGAACTAATAAAAAATTAATAGACTAGAACAGCGATTTTCAACCTTTTTCATACCACGGCACACATAAAGTAATTAGTAACATCACGTGGCACATCAAAAAATATATATTTTGCCTATCTGACCAAAAATAGGTGTAATTTTGATTCATTCACATTTGATGGCTATTGTTGTGTTGGCCTCTGTCATTTTTTTTTTTTTGACAGTCTAATGGAAAAGAAATTAATGCCCCTGACTAAATAGTCAGGTATTGCATGTTTTAAAAATTCTTACGACACACCAGTGTGCTTCTTGTGACACATGGATTGAAAATCACTGGACTGATTAGAGAGGAGCAGTGGGAATGGGAGAAAACAACCAGGGCAGGGGGCAGAGAGGGACGAGCAGTGTTAAGGAGACATGAACTCAAATGGGCCTCATAGTCCTCAGCTTGTTCTTTCTCATAGCTCACCCTTGCCACAAAATGGGGGCTTGTTAAAGCCTAGATAGAACATTGAGGTGACTTGGCCACAAGGTGGCAGCGCTTGTCCAAATTTCTTGTGGAAGTTGGCTTGTTCGCCTCTTATCTCAGGAGGCCTGCCTTGCAGAATCAGTTCATTGTCAATAACAGTTACATCTGACAGAGTTGTTTGTGAGTAAACGTGTGATGTCATTCAAATGGTTGAATTGACAGAGTGAATATACCTTTCGGTAGTCGGGTGATCTGGGGCAAAGATCCCTGACCATCCCCACACTGGTTACAGCATCATGGCTGTGTTTTCTAATACCTCACAGAGGGATACAGGAGGTGGGCACCTTCTGAGTTTGACGTCCAGATCCTCCTAATCCTGGGATTTTGGTCCAGGGCCATCCTTACTTGCAGCCTCAGTTTACTCACTTGCAAAGTAGGCAGAAAAGAGTGAGGCAGCATTTATAAAAAAACTTGTATTGTTATAGTTATTCCTATTATTATTTAACAGTGAAGTCTTATAATGAATAAGAAAGCACTACATTCACTGGAATGTTAGTTAAATTTAATGCCCATATTTTAGTTTCTTCATACATGCAGAATGTGCTGAACGTCAATGCGACAGCACTTGGCACAAGCCCTGAAAGCTGCTAAGACTAGGATGAAACTGTCCCTTCGTAAAGAAGCCAGGAGCCCTGCATCCTGAGGTTCTTCCCTTAGTTGTGGGGACCAGGATGCTGGTACTGCCCTCAGGCCTCCTCCCCAGCCACACTGCACACCTTGAGGCACTTTTCTCTCGGGCGGTGTGAGCACTCTCTCCCTCTATCACCACGCCAGGGAGTACAGCCTTCTTATGTGGTTGGCCACAGAATTTGAACAAGGAAGCAGGACCTTCTAGGAGCTTCTCCCCTCCCCAGGCAGAACTTTCTAGTGACTAGTCCACACAGTTACTGGGAAATTCAGCCGTTTCCAACACAAACCATGTATTAGTTTTACCTCTGCATGTAGGGTTTACCTACCACCAAAGTCTTTTGCCCTTGCGTCTTTGAATCTTGCACTTGAACATGAGAACTACAAGAAAACAAATCACAACAACAGGAAGTGGCTCTTGTGTGCATTCTCCATGGTTTATATATTCACCATTTCTGTACATCATCAGAGGAAATGGGCACTATTATTCTCATTTTCTTGAAGAGTAAACTGAGATTCAGGCAAGTGGAGGGACTCTGCTTGCTCAGATAAAGTTGGCAGGGGATAAAGCCAGAACTTGAGCTCAATTTTTCTGTCTTCTGTTCTGACACCTCCTAACTCCATTGCTGCTTTAGAGTAATGTTTCCAACAGTTGTTAAGACATTTAATAAATCGTAATTATGTAGTTACTTTGAAATGTATTTTGTGCATTCAGTGAGATGCATGCTTCTCTTAAACCATGTAACAACTCCTAGAATAGGCATAATTATTATCTGTACTCTGTCAGTGAGGAAACTAAGGCTGCTGGGCTCAAGGTCACAGCAGTACTGTTTGGAGAACACATGCTCCAAACCAGTTAGATTTGCAAGCTTATGGTTTTTTTAAATTAAAAATGTTAATGTTGACATTGTTGCAGATGGCCCCTTCCTCCCCCCCTTTGCCCATAGGCACCTACCCCTGCCTTGGCCTTTACCAAACTATTGTCCGTATCGGTGTTTGTGTCCATGGGGTTTGCATATATGGTTTAGCTAATTGCTTCACTTTTTTTATCCAGTCATCCACATCCATCTCCTCTCCTGCAGCAGCCAGTCTGATCCACATGTTCATGCTTCCAGTTCTCTTTTGTATATCACACTATTGTGTTCATTAGATTCCACATCTTAGTGAGATCATATGGTATTGATCTTTCTTTGACTTAGTTAGCTTAGTATAATACTCTCTAGATCCATCTATATTGTTGCAAAAGGTAAGAGTTCCTTCTTTTTTTTTTCCAATGTAGGATTTTATTGTGTAAATATACCATAGCTTTTTTTTATTCACTCATCTGCTGGTGCGCACGTTGGTATAGATATATGTCCAATCAGCTGCACTTCCAGATCTTGGCTATTATAAATAGTGCTGCTGATATTGCTCAGCCTCTCAGCCTCTCAGCCAAGCACCTGCTCCAGGATGCTCCCCCTTTCCGTGACTCCCCTTCTCTTATCAGTCTCTACATTGCTTCTTCAGTGCTCCTAGATATATGTCCAATCAGCTGCACCTCTCTTGGCTATTCAAATTGATTGTGAAGTACTTGAACTGTAATTCCAGTCCTTGCCTGGGAGCAAGGGTGAGTAGCCCAAGTTACACTGCAGCCTGCTTGAATCCTCATGTTTTGAGCTGTGTCGCTGATGGCCTCCCATCAGGTTGGCTGGGAAGGAGAGAAGGGAAGGAGGACATGGCTGGAGGGGCTGGGAGAGCAGAGGGATGAGGTGTGACTGGCTTTACTCATTCCGAGGACCATGTGTGCAGACCTGGGGGTGCTCTGGCACTGCCAGCCAACCAAGCTCAATCTGTTGCCTTCCTTGTCTGAGGATGCAGGGGGGAGAGGTGCAACCCACCTGTGCCTGTCGCAGCGAGTGCAGTGCAGAGCCAGAGAATGGGTTATGCACATGCTGCGCACTGACCAGGAGCCTTAGTGCCACTGTGCATCCTCAGGATGGAGGGAGAGGAGGGCGCCATGCTTGGGTGGGTGAGCCAGGCACAGGGATGTGGCTCTCCATTCTAGCCTTCTTTGGAGAGACCCAGCAACTGGATGCTTTGACTCAAAACTAACAGTGCTATTGCTTTTCTGTAGCTGACAACAGGAGTGGAGTATCTGGCCACCGTCAAGATTAGCCGGACCAAGTGCAAAAAGAACAGCACAAAGAGTCATTCGTGCCCCCAACAAAGCGAGAAGAAGTTGAAGAAGGTGTGTGGTGGCTGTCATCTGAAAAGAGACTCCTAATCAAAGGGAGAAAAGTCAAAACTTTAAACATTAACACAAATTGGACATTGACAGCTTTTACAGCTGTGTGGACTGGGGCATAGCCAGGGCACAGCCCCATGGCTGCTGAAACCACCCGAGGTGCTGGGGGTAGGAGAGAGGCCCTCTAACTGGACAGCCCCCCCCCCCCCACCCTGGGCATGGCACCAGCCTAGACCCTGGCCTCCAGTCTCTGGCCCACCCCCAGCCTTCAGTGGAAGCAGCATTTTTCTTTCTGCGGGGACCTTGTTCTGTCATGGCTTGCACTCCCTAGGCCCCTGAGGATTGTCTTCAAGAATTTGCTCACTCTTTTTCTGGTTCCTCTTGGTGACGCCACCTACTGGCAATTATAAGTCTCCCTGTGCCTGAGTGCATGTGCCTGGGGTCTGGGGTCTGAGGAGGGCTTTCCGGTTGTGCTTGCTCCAGCTCCCAAGTAGTTGGGCAGAGGGAGCCCTAGGTGACATTCCTGTTCTGGGCCCTAAACCCCACTTCCCCCTTCAGATGACTGAGCAGATCCTCCCCACCCACATGGCCAGGTACAGCCTCAGCCATGATTCTCAACTCCCACTGAGGGTCTCAGGGCAGGAGATTTCCCTGAAAGCTGATTGTGTCTTTCTCCTTCCACAGAGTTTCATTTGCGATTTTTTGATATACACTGTTCCCTGGATGAATTATTACGAGCTTTGGAACAACTCCTGTCAGGAGGCCCACTAGTAAATGGGTTTGTGCAAAGATCCTCGATGAAACCTTAGACGGCTGTGCTGTGCATTTTCTATTACAGACTTCTGGAAGGACCTCATCCCCCTCAGCAGGGTCTCACTACACACACACCCACACATGTACACACATATGCACTAACTCTCACACACTCACACAGTGCGCACACACATACTCATACACTCACATAAACCTAAGCACACATTCACACACTCTCACTCACATTCACACTCACTCATGTACACAGACAGTGGTCTTTAGAGGGCTGGTTCAATCTGAGCAGGAGGTTGTTACATATTTGGAGGAATCTCATAACTTTTTCTACATCAGCCTGTATCTCTGAGGCACGTCTTGACCTCTAACCCGAGCTTGAGGGAGCTCTGTTTCTTCTCAATGCACATACAACTCTGTGACTGACACATGCCTTTTTGAGTGTGTCCATGATCCCCTAGACCAACACTCTCCGCCCCAGTATCAGATTCACTGGAAGGATTCCCAGGACTCAGCATAGAGCCATACTCATGGCTGTGGTTCATTATAATGAAAGGACACAGAGCAACATTTGCAAAGGGAGGAGTAGAATGGAGAGATGAGCCTGGTGGCTTTGTTTAAAACCCTGAATCACACTATTGGGTGATGCTTATTCTCCACTGCTAATTGCCATTCATGGAAGAGGAGCCCTTTACATAGCATTCCTGCTTTTGCTGTCCTCATCACTTCTCTCCAGGAGAATTTAATCAAATTGGCCTATTTGGGAAGAAAAAACTGGGCATTGTAGTCCAGGTCCTATTCTTTCCCACCAGGGGCACACATTTTCCTTGTCAACTTCAGGAGAGGAATCTCTCTGTGAAGAGACTTACTCTGGTCCAATGTTGCTGATGATGGGCGTATACCAAGAATGTGTGTGGGGGGGGTGTTAGGTGCAATCCACCTGTGCCTATCACAGCAAGTGCAGTGCAGAGCCAGGGAATGGGTTGTGCACATGCTGCACACTGACCAGGAGCCTTAGTGCCACTGTGCATCCTCAGGATGGAGGGAAAGAAGGAGGCCATGCTTGGATGGGTGAGCCAGGCACAGGGATGTGGCTCCTGGGGCGAGCCTCTCCATTCTAGCCTTCCTTGGAGAGAGCCAGCAACTGGATGCTTTGACTAATAACAGTGCTATTGCTTTCCTGTAGCTGCCAACAGGAGTGGAGTATCTGGCCACCGTAAAGATTAGCCAGACCAAGTGCAAAAAGAATTTGATATTAGAAAGTGCACTTGCCTATAAAAATAAGGCACAGCTCCCAACTTAGTCCTTATTTAATTCTAGAATTTGGTATTAGAAAGTGCACTTGCCTATAAAAATAAGTCACATCTCCCAACTTATCAGTAACAAAGGTCTTTGAGTTTTTGTAGTTAGTTATATTATTTCTCTGTGTTTTGCATTTTATTTTTTTAAAATATATTTTATTGATTTTTTACAGAGAGGAAGGGAGAGAGATAGAGAGCTAGAAACATTGATGAGAGAGAAACATCGACCAGCTGCCTCTTGCACACCCCCTACTGGGGATGTGCCCGCAACCCAGGTACATGCCCTTGACCGGAATCGAACCTGGGACCTTTCAGTCCCCAGACCGACGCTCTACTGAGCCAAACCGGCTTCGGCTGTGTTTTGCATTTTAGACAAGAAAGGAGATACTCTTTATTGGACCTCTCAGGGATGCCATCATAGGCCATACTTGCCAATATCTGTTGGCTTAAAGCTTCTTTCCTCTTCTCTCGTCTTTCCCCTTTCTTCGTTTTGTTTTAATCTAAAGAAACCTCCTGGGTGTGAGGATAGTGTTGAAGTTCTGCTATCATGCAGGTTGTGTAGGCTATCAGGCCAGAAATTATTCATGTCATCTCATTTGGACCCCAAAACTGCCCTGCCCAGAAGACCTTCAGATTATATTATTATGAACTGAAGAATTTGGGGGGAAATGGAATTTTACACATTGAGAACATTAAGAGAACAGGAGGACAAACATTTATTTTCTGTACAGGGAATTACTGCGTATTGCAGGATACTTCATAGAGTGACCACAGCTCCAGGACACCTAGCCATTGGTGCAATTTTTGCGCAGAGTTTTGTACTTTTCAAACCAGGGAACAACAAACACTGAATAAAAGCACTCAATTTGCTAAAAAACAAAAAAACAAAAAACAATATTTTAAAAAGATAACATGTAAGGTGAAAATTTTAAAGGGGAGAGAAGAGGATATAATACTTGTGGGTGGTTTATTCTTTATTGTGATTTTAATCACTTGATAGTATTAGAGTTGAGGTCATTCCAGAAAATGTCCTTCTATTTGTAGTTAAACTTTGAGACTAGAAATAAAGTGTCCAGCCTGCATATATTCACTGACTGTTTTCCCTCTTCATTTTTATTCGTGTTGTTTACTTCACACTTTTTCTTACTTGATCTGTACTGGCTTCATCAATTCATCCATCCATCCATACATACATCCTCTCAACCATCTCCATCCATCCTATTTCCAGTGACCAAGCCTTCTTTTCTTTCACCCTTTTTTTCACCCAGACCATCCATCTTTCTTTCCTTCCTCCCATCCTTCATTTATCCATCCATATACTCATTCATCACACCCTCTTTTTCTCCCTTGCCCCTATTCTCTCTCAAGATGTTCTTTTATTTTTTAACTTCCTCTTCCTTCATAATGAAAAATCAATAAATAAATTTTGCATATTATAATTTTTTAGTGTCAGTTTGTTTTCCTGCTCTTCATTGGAAAGTCCAGGCTGGGGGATGTGGTGGTGGTGGTGGGAGGCTTAATTATGCATTTACATTTTTCCTAAAATAGAAATCAGAATACTAATTCCACCAATTAGTTATCAATAGGATCCTCCAATTTTACTTTACTGCTATCTTCAATTACTTTGTTAATAGAGTTCATGATCTCTAGGGAAGAACTAAAAAAGTCTATTTTGCTAGATTTTGAAGAATTATTTGTGATGAAAGTACAGAGAAAGCTCTTGATCACATGTTTCTACAATGAGAACACCCCAGGCCATTATAACTAGGGTCACCATATAATTGATGAACCACCATATAATTGATGAACCAGGACATGCATGCTATAAGCAAATGGAGATGGCATTAGAGATGACAATAAGAAGCTAGGTGCAATCAGGACTATTCCAGGCAGGGTGGGACATAGGAGCATCCTCATTCTAACTCATTTGGGTAAAGAGAAGTGATTTGAAGGGCCTATGGGCTTTGAGACCTTCAAGGCCTTATGCAAGTTGGCCCATCCTGACTGCACACTGCAGCTATGAATGTCTGGCCAGCCTCCCTTGGATGTGACAACACTGGGTGGGAATGAAGTGTGGACGGGGACGGGGGGGTGGGGGGGGGATTGGAACTAAGCCACTGCTGGGGGAGGTGGCTCCTCAGCAGATCACACATAAACAGGTTTGACCTCCCTTACCCCAACCCACTCCTACCACCCATTAAACTATCTCTGAACTCATTTTCTTATCTCCTCTCCCATTTTGCCTCCAACATTGCTGGACAAAAGGGACAGAGGCCAGTAGCCCAGTGGTTTTGTGTTAACATCAGGCTGATATTCAGAAATTCATCAGGGCACACCAGTGAGGTCCCACTGGCTGCTGAAATAGCTAACTACTTCCTTCAGCCCCAGAGTGTTCCCTGGAGCTCAGCCACTTAGCTTCCCCCTCTCATCCCTTTTGACCGCCCCATTATTTTTCCAGCAATGAAGAGCTGGACCCGCCAGGCAGGATCTGGGCCACCTTCACTGCTCTGTTTTGAGAAAGCAGGTGTTTATTACCCTGCTTCCTTTTTAAGCAAGCTCAACTATATCCCCGATAATTCCACCCCACATCATCCTAAAGCCACAGGCAAACCCCATTAAAAAGGAGATCACCCTGAGTTAAGGTGTTTTCACCCAGTACCTTGTAAAGCTCCCCTTCCTGAAAGCTGCAGTTGTTGGCCCCCAGCCGTTCACAGGTGGTCCGCCGCATCTCGAAGTTCATGTGGAACTCCATGTGGTCGGTGATCTGTGAGAAGCAAGAGGCAAGGAGACAAAAGGATTTCTTCTTCTCCATAGCTTCGGGGGGTGGGACCTCTTTCCCGTGGTGCCAAAGGGCAAAGACTCCATCCTGGATAGAATGGTGGGTCTCTCTCTCCCCTAACCATCTGACTCCCATGCCTCTTTTTGTCATTTGAGGATAACTCACTAGAAACCATTCTGTGGGCAAAGCCACCCATTGGAAAATCCAAGTGATGCCAATTATACCTGTACAGGGTCTGCAAACTTTGTCTACAAAGGACCAGAGAGCAAACATTTAGCCTTTGGGGGCATGTGGCCTCAACTCTGCAATTACAGCACAAAAGCAGCCCACAGGACATGGCACACATAGTGTGGCTGGGAACCAATAAAACGAAACAAATTATAGAGGCAGCAACAGGCAGATTTGGCCCTTGAGCCACAATGCACACTGACTTTGGAATTGGGCACCACTTAAGCAACTTTATCAGTGAACTTATGTGTCTCTTCAAATGCCCACTTCACACTAAATGAGGCTGAATTTCATGTGAATGGACTTGCCCCAGAATGTCAGCAGCCCCCTGGCACAGGGCCACGGGGAAGAGAGGGGAGAGGAGCCCCACTGACCAGCTTCTTGACCTTCAGGACACGCACAATCCGGAAGTTGTACTTGTCATCACTTTCCTGGTTGAATTCATTGGTCACATACTCCAAGGTGGTTACCACGTAGGGTACTGATGCAGCCACTTCATGGACACTTATAAAGGTCTTCTTTGCTTGGTAGGTGAAGGCCACAAGGGCCACCAGAATGGCCAGGAGAAGCTGTGGGGCCTGCCTAGGTCTAGCCATTGCCCCACAACTCAGGGAGCCTAGGAAGATCTCCCTCCACGTCCTGGTTCCCAGGGACCCTGACTGGCCTGGCAGATTTAAGTCCATCCATGGTGGACGCCC